TTTCGTCAGGAAGAACAACTCAAAAGATGCAATATTAGATTTTTTTTTTTTTTCGTACAGGGTATATCTCATATCTCATACTCATGTTTTATTTGTTTTTAAATTTCAGCAAGCGTAGAATCTCCCCTATAGAAATTTCAAAAGGTTGGTATAACTGTGGTAGAAATACCTCAAATTCAAATTCTTAAATACATGATTCTCTAATTTTAATTTAGATATTTTTGTTCATCAAAAAAAATGCAATTCCAAACTAAAACTAGTGTTGAAAGATTATACATTTCACTATCAGACCATAAATTATGTTTAATTTCAACATTATATAGGTAAATATATATATTATATAAATTTGAGTTAACGAAATCAGGTTAATTTTGCATCATGTCTGATAGTGATATCGTATCAAGGTAATTTCTCCTGCTAGGTGACTTTGGAATGTCACGAATAGGATTTAAATGTCAGGATTAAGATGCCTGAAACGTCTGTAAATTATAAATCCAGATATAAAGGTTGTATATACTGGAATGTTGTATGTGGAGCCCGGTCACATTATAGGATATTATGGCCTTAACTTCCAGCTGGTTTTAATGTCCAGCCTGTTTGAGCGTGAAACTGAAGGGACATTGATTTCACCTCGTAAGTTATTGATAATAAAGTACAGATTTGCTTTGCTCCAGATCATGTTTGTGTAAAAATAATCATACACATGCACTTGCCTACATTTGAAATTTTTCTTCCAAGAGAAATTGCACGGCAAAACCAGAAAGTACTTTGAAGTCTTCACACCAAAATAGTATAGTACTAAATGCCTTAGTTTAATGCCATGAGTTATAATTGAATCTGAGGAAACAAAATTCTCTATTTCATTATGGTTAAGCCATGCATTGATAGAGAGTTGACTATAATTTAGTCTGCTGGAAAGACTTAAATTGTATTATAGCCACGATCAAATTCCTGTTTGTCATGGTGCATTTGGACATATGTGAAATGCTGGAGATGACTGTTCTATTCATTTAACAAGTAATGATGTATATAAACTTTATTTAGTTAACAACAATTATGAAACAAGTTATTTCAACTTAAATTAATCCCTCTTGTTGGCCCGGATGTTAGCGTGCGGAGGGTCTTAAAATGGGAGGAAACTGGAGTACCAAAGAAAACCAATGTGGTCAGGTAGGTGACCCTATACCTTTTCATGTCCGCTCGGGTAATCAAACCCTGGCCGCCTTTGTGAAAGACAAGTGTGTTATGCACTGCACCACCCGACCACCCTTGAGTAATATAATGGTGAATCTTTACCTGCCTTTTCATCTTCAATGGTCATTTAACAGTCTTCCTACTTCATACACCTGCAGCAATTGTCAAATATATGATTTTTAAGTAGAAGGAGCAGAAAACATTTCTAAATGACAAAATGACACATATAATGTACTAGTTGCTCTTGGAATTATTTACATCTGTTTAGTTGATATCGGGCAAAATGTTTTGACATGTAAATTACATTCAGCTGTCTCCTGGTCAAAATCGTGCCCTTGCCAATTTACCTACAACAGTTATTGACGTCTGTCCTCACAAACCTGTGCCGTTACTAAATGTTACGCCATTTTTAGTATCTGGGTTTATCTTCTGTTAAGACAATAATTAAGTTAATAACTACACTTTATCTGAATTGGCAGCCATTTCAAATAAACTTTCTATTTTGCAGAAGATTTTATTTTCTATTAAGTCTATAATTATATCAATAAAGTGATGAAATAATCTTTTAAGATTTTTGGGAAATTTACAATGTCCAATAAGTTCAAGTTAGTGTAGTTTACATGTATATGTAGTACATAAAATATTAAAAGTATGTGAGGTCATTTAATTATAGTTCATTTTAATTTGAAAGGTCATGATGTTTATTTAATTTCTAATGGAAACTGATATTGTAAGACAGAAAGCACTGTGAATAAACATCCATATTTTACTGGATGTAATACATTGTATCCTGATATGAATACTTTTATCAGTCTACAATAGGAATGATGACTAGGTTGTCAATGGCTAAATAAAACAATAAAAAAAAACCAATACAATCAGAATGGTTTGTTCAAATGTTCGCCTTTGGTTTGAAACAAGAGATGACCTATGGTATAACAAGATCACAAGGAGCTGTCAATGTTGACCTATAGTATAATAAGATCACATCGACCTGTCAATGTTGACCTTTAGTATAATAAGATCACAATGACCTGTGATGTTGACCTTTAGTATAATAAGATCACAATGACCTGTCAATGTTGACCTTTAGTATAATAAGATCACAATGACCTGTCAATGTTGACCTTTAGTATAATAAGATCACAACGACCTGTCAATGTTGACCTTTAGTATAATAAGATCACAACGACCTGTCATGTTGACCCTTGGTATAATAAGATCACAAGGACCTGTCAATGTTGACCTTTAGTATAATAAGATCACAACGACCTGTCAATGTTGACCTTTAGTATATTAAGATCACAACGACCTGTCATGTTGACCTTTAGTATAATAAGATCACAACGACCTGTCAATGTTGAACTTTAGTATATTAAGATCACAACGCCCTGTCATGTTGACCTATAGTATAATAAGATCACAATGCCCTGTCATGTTGACCCTTGGTATAATAAGATCACAAGGACCTGTCAATGTTGACCTTTAGTATAATAAGATCACAACGACCTGTCATGTTGACCTATAGTATAATAAGATCACAATGACCTGTCATGTTGACCCTTTGGTATAATAAGATCACAATGACCTGTCATGTTGACCCTTGGTATAATAAGATCACAAGGACCTATAGTATAAGATCACAATGACCTGTCATGTTGACCCTTGGTATAATAAGATCACAAGGACCTATAGTATAAGATCACAATGACCTGTCGTGTTGACCCTTGGTATAATAAGACCACAAGGACCTGTCAATGTTGACGTTTAGTATAATAAGATCACAAGGTCCTATAGTATAAGATCACAATGACCTGTCGTGTTGACCCTTGGTATAATAAGATCACAAGCACCTATAGTATAAGATCACAATGACCTGTCGTGTTGACCCTTGGTATAATAAGACCACAAGGACCTATAGTATAATAAGATCACAACGACATGTCAATGTTGACCTTTAGAATAATAAGATAACAATGACCTGTCAATGTTGACCTTTAGCATAATAAGATCACAATGACCTGTCACTGTTGACATTTAGTATAATAAGATCACAACGCCCTGTCATGTTGACCTATAGTATAATAAGATCAGAATGACCTGTGATGTTGACCTTTAGTATAATAAACTCACAATGACCTGTCAATGTTGCCCTTTAGTATAATAAGATCAGAAGGACCTGTCATGTTGATCTTTGGTATAATAAGATCACAACGCCCTGTCAATGTTGACCTTTAGTAAAATAAGACCACAATGACCTGTCAATGTTGACGTTTAGTATAATAAGATCACAAGGTCCTATAGTATAAGATCACAATGACCTGTCGTGTTGACCCTTGGTATAATAAGATCACAAGCACCTATAGTATAAGATCACAATGTCCTGTCATGTTGACCTTTATTATAATAAGATCACAACGACCCGTCAATGTTGACCTTTAGTATAATGAGATCACAATGACCTGTCAATGTTGCCCTTTAGTATAATAAGATCAGAAGGACCTGTCATGTTGATCTTTGGTATAAAAAGATCACAAGGACCTGTCAATGGTGACCTTTAGTATAATAAGATCACAGCGACCTGTCAATGTTGACCTTTATTATAATAAGATCACAACGACCTGCCAATGTTGACCTTTAGTATAATAGGATCACAACGACCTGTCAATGTTGACCCTTGGTATAATAAGACCACAAGGACCTATAGTATAATAAGATCACATTGACCTGTCAATGTTGACCTATAGTATAATAAGGTCAGAATGACCTGTGATGTTGACCTTTAGTATAATAAAATCACAATGACCTGTCAATGTTGATCTTTAGTATAATAAGACCACAATGACCTGTGATGTTGACCTTTAGTATAATAAACTCACAATGACCTGTCAATGTTGCCCTTTAGTATAATAAGATCACAATGCCCTGTCAATGTTGACCTTTAGTAAAATAAGACCACAATGACCTGTCAATGTTGACTTTTAGTATAATAAGATCACAACGCCCTGTCATGTTGACCTATAGTATAATAAGGTCAGAATGACCTGTGATGTTGACCTTTAGTATAATAAGGTCACAATGACCTGTCAATGTTGATCTTTAGTATAATAAGACCACAATGACCTGTCAATGTTGACCTAATAAGATCACAATGACCTGTCAATGTTGACCTTTAGTATAATAAGATCACAAGGAACTGTCATGTTGACCTTTAGTAAAATAAGATCACAAGGACCTGTCAATGTTGACCTTTAGTATAATAAGATCACAATGACCTGTGATGTTGACCTTTAGTATAATAAGATCACAATGACCTGTGATGTTGACCTTTAGTATAATAAAATCTGAATAACCTTTTATCATGAATCCTTTTGATAGAAAAGTTTTATCGCAAGACAACACTTTGAAACAGGTGTGTGACAATCTGTAGTGTTTTACAATCAATGTAACCTGATAGATGTGTACTAAAGTACACTAGACAATTGCAAGTTGTACAGGTAGTAAATGTAAATCGGTACACCTGTAAGGTAACAGTGACAGGTAAATAAACTTTGGATGTATTAAATGTCTGAATAAGTAAACAGTTGCATATATCAAAACTATTATGAAATTACAAGAGAAATACCTGTATTGGTTGATTTGCATTTTGTCTTTTGAGGGGTTGAAGAAGGATATATGGATTGATGTGTCATTATTTTCGTTACCGTTTCGTTGCATCAAATTTATGTGTTGTACATGATATTTTATACAATATGATAAGGAGAAAATGTGAAAATTATCTTATTTTTGATTCTTTTGTATTACAGATCATCACAAATGGATGTTGAGGATTCATTGACACAGGATTCAACTCTCTAGGTATGACACCAAGCAACATGGAGTATGGCTGATTTAATGGAATAAGATATATACTTAAGGCATCTTCAAAATGTCTACCGCCATACATACTGAGGATGGTAGAGGCCCCTTTTCCCATCTTCATCGGAAAGGTCTGCGGGATAGGACTCATTTTCCTTCTGGAAATAAGGATACTGTCCGGAATAATAAGTACAGTGCTTCATCCAACAACAGGAACAACCGCCATCTTGATCGTCAAGGGAAAGGAAAGCCTACCAGCCAGGTCAGACGGACATTAGCATTTGACACCGATGATGAAAATGATGAAGATTACGACTTATACAAGGGAGGTTTAGATTTCACAGACAAAATCGCAGCTTTCCGAGCGCTTATCAAGCCGATGAAAGATCCTGTGTCAATTTTAAAATCCAAACGTGATCTTGACCAACTCAAAGATGAAAGAATGTCAAAAAGGAATTCAAATACTTTCACTGTGGATATCAAAAAAGATACTGAGTTGAGGGTTTCTAAGAATGAGGATGACACTGCGAGGGCCAAACGGTCACTGCTGGGTCGTAAAGTAGACAAGGAATTGTCACGCATGTCCTTCATCAATTACCAGGCCCATGTACACATGATGGAGAATGGCCAAGGACAGCCCACAAAGGTAGGCCAACATACACCTCGACATGACACGCAAAATAGTGTCAACAAAAACGCGTCTGTATCAAAAATTCTAGACGAGTATTTGGAACTCCATGATCAAAAGAAACGATGCCAAAATTTCTCGGAAGGATTGGAAAGTGTTGTTAATGGCGAAGATAGCAGAAACACGAAACCGTCGTCAAGGAAACAAGACAGACACGCAAACAATCACAATTTTGATGATGTTGAATTAAAGGTAAAAAATAAACGTAGAATTAGTCAGTCTAATTTTGATATGGATCTGATACAAAGTGGAAGTCAGGTTGATCACTGTGATAGTAAGTGGAAGTCTAGTCAGATAGCTCAGACAAATCTTTCAATAGGAAGTGACCCGCTTAGTGACGTGGGATCATTGCTAAACAAAGATGGCGGACATAAGGGGTTAAAGACAGTTCAGAGTAATGTCCCTCATTATCATCCGTCTTGGTCCTCACACGATAAGGAGTCAGGTCAAAGGTCACCAGGTCCAGCATCTCCACATCGAAAATTGAGTCCACGAGTGCCAAAAACAGATTCCAATGCCGAAAATTTTGATTATCATTATAATGTCAAAAATAAGTTTGGATCTGGTCCAGAAGAAGAGACAAAATATCAAACAAATACGTACAACTTTGCAGACCCTTTTAAAACAGGAAAGAGTGACAGAAAATGGGAGAGAACTCCAAGACAAAAAAAATCTACAGAAAAAGATTTTACTGACCTCCACGAAAGGTCAAAATCTGGTGGTCGCCATACTAAAAGTGATGGATTTAAAAATAAACGCTACCAACAAAAAAGTAGGTCACCGGGCAGGAATCATAAGTCAGATTTCTGGGATAATTTCATGTCAGATTCCTCTAAAGAAAATATACCTGATTCCGACGTTGAAAGTGATGACATGGAGGACAAACTACGAAAACAAAAACAAAAAGATCGCCGCCATCAAAATTCAGACTATATAACTCATGGAAATATACGTAATGAGAAAAATAGATGGAAAGATAAAAGTGAATTGGGAAATTCCCGAGAAAGAAACAATCGTAGGAAAAAGGACAAGCATGCAAATGATCATGATCACGGTGGACTTTCTGATGAAAGTCTACAGATAATACCGGAAAGGGATCTACCAGTTGGTCCAAAGGATCTGTCGACTCAGGTGTCCAAAATGGTCTCGAAACCAACTCCCAAAAAATACCAGGATGCCCTAGAATCAAGGTCAGTGTCGGCATTTGCTATCAGGATATCTGCTCAACTTAACCATGTATTTTTGTGTTCTCTCTTTAAGTATTTTACTTACTCTTTACTCTCTGTATTTTACACACACAAAATACCTGGTATTTTGACTTAAAAGTCTCGCACTAAGGTGCGATTGGGAAAAGTAACTGTTATACCCACCCTGCATTTGAATTCCCTATTAATAAATCATAAGTACGTGCTATATCATTTTAAAAATTCCATCATTTGGTGTCTGAATTAGCTATTAATGTTTTTGTTGGGTTACTCGCTGTTTGAACGAATAAATGCAATGTTTTTGTGGGAACCCTTTCACCACTGTAGACCATAATGAACTCATCCAGATCAATGCATGGTAGAGTTTACTAAAGTTACATAGGGGTGAAAGGGTTAAAATTATCGAACTGGATGATTATATCCATGAGAACAGAGAAAATATCAAGAACTTAACAAGTTGATTTTTTTTTCTTAATTCCCTAATTGGGGCATCCTAATTAGGGCAGTTACCATCTACAGGTCAAATCTCAAGAATCATACACAACATATTTATATATATGTACCTGAACTTAATTTCCCATGAATCATCCGTAGTCCTTAAGACCTGAGGAAACATTTGACGTATTTAAAGCAAATATCGCAAAAAAGGGGATATTCCTGGATACAGGTATATTTTGTGTAATAAGGTACATTTGAATGAATTAAATCTGTACGTCCTGTGTCTAAGTAAGATAAGTTTATAAGTTTATACATTACAGGGTGTCTGACACCAGTCTATCTGGGTCGGTGTGGTCCTCCGGTAGCCAGTCCAGTGTAATACAGGCGGCGGAACTCATAAAGCGACTCTATAGTGCAGATGCTAACACACGAGAGGAACTTATACTGAAGGTAATACAATGTGGTCTACAGTGGTGAAAGAGTTAATTATACAAAGGATTAAGGTCATCATCTAGCTTCAAGCTAGAGGGAATTTCCCTTTAGCTCAGTGGTAGAGCGTCCGACTAGGAAGTATGGGATCGAGGGTTTGATCCCCGGTGGAAGCACACTATTCTCTTTTTGTAACAAACGGTGTCTGTGGCCCTTCCAGTGGTGACAGGGAGTTAGAACCTGGGTTGTGGTGTTCGAGGGCGAACACATTTAAAAAGGGGGGAGTAGTGTGGCAGGTTTAAATTGTACATAGGATTAAGGTCATCATCTAACTTCAAGCTAGAGGGAATTTTCCTGTAGGTCACTGGTAGAGTGTGCGACTAGGAATATGGAGATGGAAGGTTCGATCCCCGGTGGAAGCACACTATTCTCTTTCCTGTTACATAAGGATATACTATTGCTACAGCACTTGTGAAAATGTCAAAATATTCTTAATTTAATAGAATTGTTATTCATCTAGAAATCCTAGAGTATCCTCTGGTCATTTTATTACTGTAAAATGTATAACAACAAATTAAGCAGACATCAATGACAAAAGGTTAAAGGTGACCTCTCATCAGTGTAAGTACATTCTTTTTACAAACCAATGATTGATCTTCATAATTTTTCTGTTCGAAACCCCATCCCAATTAAGAGTTTCTTTATAGTTATTATTTGAAAGAAAAAACAGAAAATTAATATAAAGCTTACATTTTAGCATGAAACATAATGATTTTTTTATTTTACATTGCAGGCTCGTTTCTTCCGACGCTGGTTGAAGCTTGTCCGTCGTAACCACAAGGGTTTCCGTGTGAACCACACTGCAGAACAGGAAGGTAGTTCTGTATCAAACTTTCCCAAATCTTCCAGTCACAAAGACTCGGTATATCAGACCAGGTCTCAAAAGTATGTAGACTCACCTGTAGTGGAGAATGTCAAACTTCACCCCACCCAAAAGTCTGCCGGTCTGTACACCCCCGTGACTCACCCCACAAAGCACTTCCACAGCACCCCACGTGATGGTCACCTGACAGGAAAGGGAGGTTGTCAAGTTCAAAATAGGGAGGACGTGGCTGTAGATGACAACAATGATACAAAGTTCAAGGTCATTGAGGACAAAGTTACATGTAAGGCTGATTTTGACATAGATACAGACAATCACAATCTTGCTCATACACGTCTGCTTCATATAGAAAATTTCCTTGAAGATGCCTTACAAGAATTTAAGAAAAATTCAGCAGACAACAGATTGCTAAATGGGGTTGTCAATGGAAAATCTAGACAAAATATCAAGGAAAGTGGTTCAGAATTGGAAGAAAAGCTACATCCAAGCGTTGCGGCACAGCAAAATTCTGATAGGGATACAGTAAATATAAAAATTGCTGATCCTCATAGGAACAATTCTGTGAGTAGCAAAGAAGGCAAAGCCAAAAAGAAGAAAAGGAATAACTCCTTGGATAGACTTTTGAAGTCTGATGATCAGTCAGTTAAGACTGGCAAGGACAAACAGAAAGATTTCCGTGATCAAAGACAGAACAATGGCGTTGTGGATCTACATGTCAACGGCAGTGCCCCAGTCAATAGTGGGGAGAACGGGCTTAGTAACAGTCAACCCTCCAGCCTTATCGGGCAACATCTCGGGGGCAAATTCATCAAAATACAGAAAAAGAAACGAGATTCAACAACTTCACTTCCTGTACAGGTACCGACCCCAATAGACAGTGATCAACAACTACTGGACACAGCTAACTACGGCGTCTGTCTGCAGAGGTAAATTTAAACATTCACAGTGTCTTCACCCAGGAAATGTCTGTTTGAAGCCTTTACTTATAGCTAAATAATGATTCATTAAAGTAGAGAGTCCCTGAGTGCTCTGTTGTATCTCCAACAAAACAAAGTTCTAATTTGTTTGGCATTTTTCTGAGTTCAGGAGTCGCTTGCCGATTTACTACTAAGAAATATATAACAAAGAAAGAAGTGTATGTCACCTATAATTGTAGTAGGCTAGTACAAAATATTAGCTGTCTTCCTACCGACTCAACTAGGGAGAATTTCTCTTTAGCTCATTTGGTATAGCATAAAGACCAGTAAACCAGAGTCCCAGGTTCGAGTCCTACAGGAGAAAAAATAATGACCTTTTGATACATGTATTAACATGCCTCATGTATTATAATATCCTTTTTCAAAAACACATCTTGGCTTTGATCCTCAAACCACATAGATATAAAGCAGGTAGCTTATCTTCTTCGCTACGGTATGATATATAGAAATAATTTTAAAAACTGGTTCAGTTAAAATTCATCATCATATGGAAATATTCTAATAACTTGTGAGGTAATGATTATTATAAATGCCTCAGTTAAAAAAAAACAGTTTCTTGATACTTTCAAATGAAAAATGCACTTTTAAAACTGCAATAATTCATAATAAAGAAATCAGAAGGGAACTTTTTCATATCTACTTCTTATTAAGACATATCGTTTTGCAAACACATAGGGCTGAGATCTTTCTCCGAGATCGCCTCCTGAAGATCTACTTTAAAATGTGGAAAAATCGGGCCATGGCAAAGCTCAAGGAAAGCAGAGCTGGGGCACTCCACCGATACCATTCACTGCGAAAGGGTATGAAGGCGTTCTCTTGGGCCATCAGTCGGTCACGTATTCAAGTGGACATCCTCCAGTCCCGAATGACTTGCATTGTCCTGGCTGCCCGCTTCACACATGTAAGTTAAATACCCTGTCGTAGAAATGAACCTTCAAGCGATTTGGAATTCAGATTCAGACTAATCAAGAAAATTAACAGGATTTTTAAAATATTTAGCAATCATTGTTTATTTTTCAGTTTTGACCATTGTGTTTATAGAAATAAATCAAAAGCCTGAAAACAACTTACTATATACATCTCCATATTTGACCTTACCTATAATATAATTAGCTGCTTTATTTGAAACAATTGCTTGATGTCAAACACTTGGGAAATATGTGGTTGTCACGCTATATAACTAAAAAGTAATAAAATATTTAAGATTTAAAAGTAGCTCTTTCATTGAATTCATAATTCAGAATTCATAATATTGTATGTGCTATTCCGTCTTTGCGTATTGCAGAGTTATCTTCTCTTATGAGCAGGTATTGATTGCTACATGATTGGTTTGTGTGATGGCAAATTAAGTTGTTTTCTCAAAAATTTATGACATTACTCTCACAAACCAAAGACAGAATTTATCAATTAGTTAGTTGTTGAATTGAAATTCATGATCTTTTGGCCTTACATGTAATGTCAGAAATGGTAGAAATTGCTACTTAACTAGTTTAAAGTGATGTCCATCTTATCAGTTCAACTATCAAAATTGACATCAGTAAGTACTAGAAGCATGGCTTGTTTTCTAAATCACAATGTGACAATACCTTTACTGTATTTGCCAGAAGGAGTCTAAACAGTCTTTGTAGATACCTACATTAAAGGGAGATAACTGGAATTGACTTTTAACATTTGATTAGTTAAAGGAAATATGCGAGAATTGGGAATATGTCAATTTCACTTGAAATATACCCATGGCCTGTGTATCTGTCAATGAGCCCATGCCTGGTAATAAGCACACCCATACCTAGTGCAGTTCAGTAAAAATACTATCTAATTGTCTTGAAATCCCACCTCTCATCTTTGAGTAAGACATAATATATTTTGGCCCCTTGCAGGATAAATATTGTAAATCTAATGAAAGAGGCTTTAAACTTTAAGAAAGTCATTTGTTATGTTCCAGCCCGGTTCTCAGATATCCTGGTACGGATACCCAATTAACAGATTAAACTTTATACTTTCTAGTGGAAAAATCTAGCCATGAAGAATCGCCAGGAACGCTTGGAGAAATCCTTTATCAGATGGCAGTGTTTCACCCTGGAGTCACAGAAGTGAGTATTAATTAGCAGCATCAGATATTTTATAGAGAAACTTCTGAACATATGACTGAACTGGGACTGTGGTCTAAAATATTGTGGTGTACCATCTATCACTTAACATCTGTTCAGCATAATTGACAGCTGGATATTTAGCTATAAGAATTGTTTCGTTGTACATGAATACAGGCTCTTTTGGTAATTGTGGAAATCTGGAAATTTCAAGGCATTAGATATGAAACAAGTCACAAACGGTGATATATGGTACATGAATACAGGTAGGTACACAGCAGTATTAAGTACAGCACCAGAATATATGTACCATTAAAGGACATAATGTAAACATTGAGATAGAGAGAAAAAGGAAATATTAAAAACAAACATTCATTATGACTTGAATTTTCATAATATTTTACCAGTGTAGCAGAATCAATTTGTGGATTTGAAAGTCAGTTTGTACATTTATAACAACTAAGTGTACATATGCTCACAGTACAGTGTAGCCATGTTAATGGTGATTTATTGCCAACTCGTACATATTTTACACCTTAGTGTACATGCCCTTCATTGGTCATTTGACTGTTGAAGGTGACAGAGTACATATCGTACTAGTCATCGAAATGTCAGACATAAACAAATTACCGGTTGTGCTACATGAGCCTGTTTTCAATTTATAACTATCAACCCGAAGAAAATGTTTAAAATATATTGTATGGTATGAGGAATGTTTTTTATAGGCGTTGCAAGACACACACACGGGCAACTGGGATGTAAGTAAAGGCATAAAGAGAAATATTGCCTGCTCACATTAAATATTGCCCAACACTGAAGTTACACAAATTCCTCATTTGTGTCACAAAATTGTATTAATATACCCAAATTAATATTCCTTTTGTTTTTTTCTGTCATGGAATTTTCCTTACTCCCAAATAAGATGCCTTTTTTTTGCTGTTTTCAAAAGTAACAGTCCTTCAAAAATTAGGAAGTTATATAATCAAAGTCATGCTTTTTACAATTTTACAATACTGGTATGGAGTAAATTTTGATAAAAGAAATGGATAAATTATCGTGTTTATCAGTAATACCGTATTTGCGGTTATAACGGGCGCGGCAGCCTGCTGAAATAAGGCGCTGATTTTTAATGGTATTTTATAGCTAAAAAATGTTTTTATGTGAGTTTTCTACATTTTCTATTCCAGTTACCCAGCAGTTGAACATAATTTTGAATTCCATTCTCCTCTTACCATTCACTCAATCAAGTTCTGATTGTTTTTCCCCACAGCACAATCTTGTGATCCCAGTGGTAACAATGCCATCCCACCAATGTTTTCTGTGATGTTCCTGTTAATTGTCTTGTGATGGATTAACCAGAAGTGTTTTCTTAAATGTGTTTTTGAACCATGAACAATCAGCTACAGATCTGATGCTTGTATATCCTAATGTGGTATTGGTTAAGATATTGTTACAAGACTTTTGATTGGCTGAGGTATATCATATGGTCATTTTGATTTGATCTGCTGGTGATGTGACTTCATGTCAATTTTCATATTTCATTTCACATATCATGATCAATAGATTTTTCATTTACTAATGACCATTTGAAGTCAAAGTTATAATGCTCATATTCCAAATATGAAAATAAACCGTTTGTTTTACTGCTGTTCATGTTTGTGTATGTAGAATACGACTAGAAAAGAAATTTGGACATTTTTAGAAAATTTGATTTGAAAGATGGTGAAAACGTTAATTTCATATGCAAAGTTAAGTGCTATAAATGTATTTGTTTTTAACCCCACAAAAAGTTTGCTGATACATTGGTGTCAAAATATCGTTAAGTTTAATACATGTAATAGTTAATATTTAATTGTTATTTTGAATTTTAGAATTAATTGTATACTCTATAGAATCGATACGATAATAATTTTATATACCTAAATCTACAATATTAATAAGCGCAATCATATTTTCAAAAGGTGCATATTTTAGCTGGAGATATTTTGTATAAAAAAACTGTATAAACAATAATTTGATCTTGTATTGAATTCTCATTGTTTCATCTCTCTTTTCATTTCTAAAATCCTGATTCATTTCATATAATGCAATACATGCTACAGAATTGATGTTTTCATTTAATAAACTGGGACTTGACAGTATGGTTTTTTTTGTGTCTTTTAAACATTATAATTCATGTGTTTGTACAAATACTACAGATACAGTTAAATCACTTAGATAGACGAATGAAAATGAAAAGTTTGGTGAATTGCATCATATTTCTGTAATCAAAATTAGAATTGTGATATTATTTTTTCATTCACAGCTTCTTTCAAGTAGGATTTCAAATGTTACTGACAATATCAATAATTAAGGTGGTAATTTTCCCTAATGTACTTGGTAGTTGTTATGTAAAGGGTATGTCTGAACACTTAAACTGATCATGATGAAAATAAAACAGATCTACAGAGTTGATATATCATTTATAAACCCTCATACATTCATTGCAGAGTACAAAAAAATGTACTTCAATTGAAAGAAACATTAATGACTTGTATGGTGGTAATTTACCTTGCAGGTAATTTTAACTTTCGATGAATATTCCTATATTTTCATCTTCCACATTTAAGTTTTTAACAAAAGTATGTGGGACTGTGCCATGTTGTACAGCATGTTCATCAGTTGTCTGTAAGTATAAGAACTTGGTTCTGTTGTTATTCCAGAGTGAGGAAACTGAGATGGCAGGGTGACCAGAAGATCCTGCGAGGAGCTCTGACACAGTGGCGCTCACAGTTTATTACTCGCCTCAAGGAGAACAAAGCTGACCTACACTTTAGGTAATTAATGATAGGAGCGGTAAATTCTTAAGGAAGTTGTATGATGAAATGACACAAGTGAATGATATGAATTCAAATAAGGATAAATTATCTTTTGTCTTCCTTGTATTTCACCTTTTAATTCTAAAGTTGGAGAAATCTGGGAATAAATATTGGAAAATAAAATAAAAAGAAATAAGATAAATTAATAATTGATTAATATAGATAAATAAAAGTTAATTAAAATTTCTATTAGCTCTTATGGTGTACACTATTCTAAGAAATCAGTCTGAAAGTTACATACAATGTAACTAAAAACAAATTCCAAGAGCGATCCCTTGACCAGCACTGTATAAATTCATTCATATTATTGCACTGAATCTATTATTTCTAAAGAGAAGGAGAAAAAATATGTTTTTAATTTGGATGTTAATTTTCCAGGACGACTCTCCTTGCTGAACAACTGAAGTGTTGGAAGCTATTCACGAGCGATTCCAAAGAGAAGAAATGTCGAGTTGATACAGCTAGGTAAGGGGAGATAACCAAGATTGCTGTGTGTACTTACATTGTACACTAGTATATTCAGTGTTTACCCTGGTTAAAGGTAATTTTGTTAGTTATTTAAAATTAAGCAATACTGCTTAATGTGTGTTAAGTTGGATTCCATACTTCATAAGAAACATTGAGTGGAGACAGCTAGGTAAGGGGAGATAACCAAGGTTGCTGTGTGGTACCTATACTAATGTATTCAATGGTACCTGGTAATAGGTAATTTTGCGAGGAATTTAAGATTTCAAATTGTTAACAAACACCCAAATGATTTTCATGACTATTAATTACCTTCTTTTGCAAGTATTCCTGGTAAAGGACTAATTCCTATTAAAATCACATGTGAAACTTTGCTATTTACATAAAACAGGTCACAGTTGTGATTTTCCAAAAAAAAAAAGGATTCAAAACTGAACAAAATCAATGTTGCCTTTATTTACATTAGATGGAGGTAAAAATTAATTAATAAATTAAATAGATTTAGAAAAGAAAAATCATTATCCTGTGTTAGAATTTGACCCGAATTGACCATAAGTTACAAGTGAGCCCCATATTTTACTTAGTCAGATGATATGGATCACATGTAAATATATAAATATATGTATTCATATCATGGAGTAATGCAAAGTGTACTGGATAATACTGGATTGTTGTGTAATACTAACTTATTTTAATGGCTTTCAGACTGTTTTTCTCACATCATTTACAAAACAAGATGTTTGTCCAAATGGTGATGGTGTTCGGGAAGACTTGTATGGCCAAATCACATCACAGGTAACACATAGGTCAAGAATTCCACATACATTCCTTTTTATGTTTTGAAGTAATTCTTTTGAATATTGGAATGATTAATAAACACATGATGTTATTTTTTTTTTTGTAGATGACTTGACCATATCATAACTTAACTTCAGGAATTAAATTTAGATTATCCAGTCCGAATATATTTAAGTGTGAAAATATTCATATTTTAGCAGGAATAAAATGGAGGGGGGACTTGAAAATTCCCTTTGGAAGTCATTAAACACTCATAATAATGATTATTTTTAGAATAAAAGTAAATAACAATACCTGAACATGCAGTTTGGAGTCTTGTTTTCCAGATGCTTCTTATTTCAACAAATGTGGCTAGATTGTGATTCGGCTGAAATGTTAAGACAATAAATAGTATATGGAAAACTTGAGTCCAAAATATCCCTGAAAACTCTTGTGGGATAAGGATTCTATCATAGAAGGAAAGGTCCCTCATGGTTATCAGTAATCTTTTAAATCTAGTCTTATTCATTGATAAAAGATATAAATAAAAAAGCTCAATATAACCCTGTGTCTTTTGAAGTTTATGAAGTTAACTGTTTCCAGTTTAAAAAAAAATATTATCGATAATCAATATTTATTATTTATATGGTCTTGTTTTCTGGTTTAAAATTTATTGGTATATTATTCTGTCTCTCCAGAAAGAGGACATTACACATGGTGCTGGTTGCCTGGCGACAGGCGTCACATGTCTGTAAAGTAGAACGACAGCGTGACATGAGTATCAGCCGAGAACATTGGCGCATGGCGACGACAAAACAGGTGTTCTGTCACTGGCACGACCAGCTGCTTGTACAGAGGACACGTGGTAACAAAAACAAGCAACTTATACGGTAAGGGCAGTTATTCATGGGAAAGGGCGGATAATTCATGTGGTAAGGGGAGATAATTCATGTGGAAAGGGAGATAATTCATGTGGTAAGGGCAGATAATTCATGGGTAAGTGCGGAAAATTCATGTGGAAAGGGCAGATAATTCATGTGGTAAAGGCAGATAATTCATGATTTTAGTAGACAATCTTTGTAGAACAACCATCTGTTTGAACAAGAAAGGAAATTCACGTGCTAGCTTGTGTGGTATTAAAGGGCATATAACTTGTTCATATAAACAAATAATTTTGTTGTCAAAGACTTCAATTGGGAAATTGTTTGTGTGGTAAGGGCATATAATTCATGTTTCAAGGGCAGAAATGTTTGTATTGATGGTATACAATTGATATTGTTTGAAAACATAACTTGATCCAAGTAGAGGTTGAAAATAGCTCAAGCTCCTAAAATATGTCAGAATCTTTAGATTTTTCAAACATTTTGATTCTTTGTTTTCTCTGATAAAACATAGAAATGCATTCCACATCTGGAGAGTTGAGTGGACAAGACTACTAGCGGCACGTCTTGCGAATGAGGCACGTCTGAGACGTGAGATTCTGACCACAGCCCTGCAACTATGGCGGGCCAACGTGGAACTGTTACAGAGGCGTCGCCAGGCTGGCATCATTCACTTACAGAGGGCGCTAGTTCGTCATGCTCTGCTGGAGTGGCAGGCCTACACTCAACACAGGAAAGAGCTCAGGTATGTAGACAGAAACCACATAGGTGTTTGAGGGAGGCCATCTATAGGACTACTGAGGTCACAGCAGATTTAAATACCAGATTGGTGACATGAAATGAAATGGGAAATGAGGGGTCATTGTACCGAAGATTAACTTTGATGATATGTTATCGTAAATCTACAATAGACAATTTTAACGTTTTCAGAATTGTTTGGTTATATGATCAGTGTTCATTAGAATTAACTATTTTTTATTACGTATGGAAATTGTAATCATTTTAATTGATTTCCAGAATAATTTTTAGTATTCCATATCCATTATAAGACTACAGATTATTCAACAAATATGAATCTTTATTGGAATTTGAAAATTGAAAATAAGCAACACAAATCTCCTACAAAATAATATAAAATATGCAAAGAAGAGTATTACAGCATTAGTACTCTCACTCAATAAAATCTTGATTTTTACCTTTAAACTGATTCGTCTATTTAGAAAATATAAAGAGTCCACCAGGTAATATATATTACTGTATACATTTCCACACTTACACCCTTTGGCATCATAGATGGTAGATGTTTTTATTCACACAAGTCACCTTAGATCAACCTAGTTACCTCCCTTGCTGTAAAGAAATACAAAAAAATATGGGACAGTTTGTAAAGCAATTAATTTTTAGATACTTTATTTTAGTGCTTTAGTAATTTTAGTTATTATATTTGGTTCAAATTCCATCTGGTTGTTTTTATCGTTATGTGCTGAAAATAACTGAATTATCAAATTGTTTTTTAATTAAAATTATATAATAGTGAGTATTTTGTAACAATTATTTTTCAGCAATGGTTTATGATTTTACATGTTTGTCATTTATGTACTTCCTTGTAATTTAGTTATTCAAACCATGAACAGTGAGTTAATTTAACGAAGTTTGTAATGTGTGTAGATTTTTAGAGATTTTTGGATGGAAATCTTTTAAGTCAAAACTTCTAAGGTTTTCTTAGATGTAATTTCTTAATTTATTTCCTTGTACTACCATGAGATTTTCCTCATAAGCATGGGATTTTTGTAATTTCTACTTCATATCTGCCAATTTTAACTACTGGTATCCATGTGTTTCCATCCTTAACTTATTTAAAAAAAAAAAATGTATTATTAAATTATGATTGGATGAGTTCTCCAGCATTTAATGTTTGAGAAATGCAGGAATTGTCTGGCTCACTTTTTAGGAAGTGAATCATTTTTTTATTCATATTCTGAAAAATTTGGATAAAAACTTCATTTACTAATTCTTGATCTGAGTAATACATAATTTCGAAAAAAATCCAATTATTTCTTCAAACAAATTAAAATGTCTATAAAATTATAGCAAAGGTGAGCGGAAGAAAAAAAAACATCCGCCAAAATGACAATATACTTTATATTGTCATCCGCCACTCCTAAAAGCCTTAAGATGGGATTATACGGCTGATTTAAGATGATAGACATTTAATTAATTCTTTGCTAATCTTTGTCTTTATATCTGTCCTGGGCTTTTCATATTCATGTGTGAAACTATGGTAAATTAAGGAATTGAGGGGAGTTGTTTTTTGAATTCAGGTGTATTTGTCTTACTAGAAGTGTATTTAATTTCTTAAAATCTTGTAAGTCTTTTTTTCAGTGTGTAATATCAGATTTGATTGTGCAATGTTCATTTCTTGGAGAAAATGTAGTTTTTGAGTGAGAAAGGGTGTTCGGGAGTTCAGGTTTATTATTTTTCAGATTCTCCAGCTCTGGGAACCTGGGGAAGATTAATAATTTCATGCCATCATTAGAAATGCTTTTCAGTAATTTGAAGCCAACTATAGGATCACAAGGCTATTTAGTAGTGTTTAGTGTTTAATTGTTTTGTGCATGAAGTAATGTTTAGAAACGTGTGAATGCAATGTACATTTGTCAGTCATTATTGAAATGGATCATATCTAGTTGCCACTTACATTAACCCTTTCAACCCTAGGGAACTTTGATAGACTCTATACCATACATTTATCTGGATGAGTCAATTTAGGTCTACAGTGGTGAAAGGGTTAAACATTCTATTGATCGTCCAGATCACACTTAGAAAATAATGATAAGAGATCAGCGATGGTTGGAAACGGTGCAAATCACGCATGTTTCTAACCATCGCTGAACAAGTTCTAGAAATGTTTTCAATAATGAACAAGTTCTAGTAAAAATAATGCATATTATGCATGTTTCCAAATGAGGCTGGACAAATACTGGAAACATTTTATATAATGAACAAAGATGTACAAATAAGTAGTATATGTGCTGTAAATATGCAATTGAACATTAATCAAGCAACTTGGGTGTAAAAAATAATTTGCATTCAATCTGCACTACAGTGCAATACATTAGTCAAATGACATGATGAATCCCAGAACAATCTTAAACAGCTCAACCGAAAAAGCATTGCCACTGCCATTGATGACTTGAATTTGACCCCAGCAGTTCTAATCCTAATGAAAAAATTAAAAGGTATATGTAAGAAAGAATTTTCTGAAGTTTACAGGGACACTTGTGAAACCTGGGCCAGGAGGAGTCTGCTCAAACATTTATTTTCAAATGTTTGAAAAGCTATAGCCATGAATAACTTAAGTGTGCACTTTATCCAAAGGGAATTAACTAGGGGTCTAAACTGATTCTGTGCATGCTGTTACCAGGTAAAGATATATATCTCTCCTTTTCCGTGTACAGGAAGATCATGACAGTTTACAAACGCACCAAAGACCTGCAGAAGCAGCGACGATGTCTGTCTGTCTGGCGTCACAAGTTTGAGGACAGACTGGACATACAGAAAGCGAAACAGTTCTGGTCTAACATTTGTGTGAGGTAAACATGCAGAGCTGGTCCTTATCAACTGATCTTTAAAATATTATTCACTTAAGGCCAACTTTTCATATAAATTTTTCAAAATCCAGCTACTCCAGATTTCTGCAAAATCGGAAAAACCTAGAAACCTTTATTAAAATTTATTTTTAGAAGCATAATTCCCATTTTTGGCATAATAAATTTTGTCAAATATCATGAAATTTTCTTATAAAAGGTTGCAAGCTCATTATTTTCAAACTGTTTAAATATGTGAATTAAATAGCTGAATATTTCATCTGTAGGAAAGCTTTAGACCAATGGAAGAAGCTATGCCACCGCCATATGCTGTACAAATTACTGGAGGCCACGAAGCCAAACCGAAACTTAGCCCTTAAGAGAGGTAGGTGATGCTTTATCCTCATTCTGACTGTTAATATAGAACCAGAGTCAGAAACCTGGCCCTTGTGAGCAATTGGTGGGGCTTCCAGGCCCTTGTAAGACATAGATAGGTCTTGATTGTCATTCTCAACTAACAGTCAGAAAAATGATGTCTGATTGAGAAGCAGGTTGGGCATTTTGTCAGTATCACTTGACAAAGTTGTATGTACTTTCATGCAGGGTGAATCAATAAACCTGTCTCTTGCATACAAAGATATTGGTTCCTATGATATTTGTTTAGATTTCTTTCACTATGTAATACGAAAAATCAAAGCTATAGCACTTTCACCATCTACACTAGTTTGACAAACCTCCCATAGGTTAACCCTTTCACCCCTATGTAACTTTAGTAAACTCTTCCATGCATTGATCTGGATGAGTCCATTATGGTCTACAGTGGTGAAAGGGTAAATAAACACAGAGGGTTACTTTTGTTTGAAATGCCTGACAGACATGTTATAATGTATAAATACTTCCATTCTTTTGTTGCAAAGGCATTTGATGTAAAAACATTCTTTCTCTTAAAAATGAAGGATCCAATATCGGTGCCAAATAAAAAACTTCAAATAAAAACGAGGATTCTTCATACGGTATTAAAATATTTTAATCTTAGACACATTTTTTATTATGAATATCATGGATAAGCATAGCAACATTGTCTTTACAGTAATGTTCCAAAGATGGTTGGAAGCTAGATCAAAGATCAATTGTGAAAAAAAGGAGGCAGACCAGATGAGGACAATCCTGGAACATTCCCAGCTGCAGCGAAGCTTTCAGACATGGTGGATAGCTACCCAGCAACGCCTCACCATCAAACCGATGTTGCTACGACAACAGAGGGCCATGGTAACAGAGTATGTAGTCCTTATATTTGGTTTTCTTGGAAAATGTTATAAATCAGTATACAGTAAAAATTCTTTGCTTGCACCCCTCCATTTACTAGGGAAAGGCATATTGGAAAAAGTTTTGAGAGGACTTTTGAAACAACTTTTAATGTGTCCAAAGTTTGTGTGGGGCATATCTTCTATACTAGCTATTTCATCTTCAGTAACCAGATTTGGTCTGCAAGTACATCATGGGATGGTAGAGTGTCAGGAACAAAAATGTGACCTATGGTTGGGCTTTTGACCTCAACCTTTGAAAAACTTTGTTTGGAGCACATTTTCTAAACTATTTTTACCTGAGGTAACCAGGTTTGGTATTCCTTGGCTGGTAGATCTAGAGTGCAGAGTACAAGAAGTATGTGATTATGAACTATGTCCTCAGAGCTCGTAAATAAAGACGTCATTACCAGTACGGGACTACGGATTACCTTGCAATATCATTTTCCTTCTGCTTTGATTATGTCCAACAAATTTAAAATAGTTTAGATTTCTGCTTGCTTTCGATTTCAATAGTTAAGAAAAATAAGGGTTTTGATTTTTACCCTAAATATCATGTAAAATAAAATAAAAACATATTTAAAACAATACTGAAAATAGTTGTTTTACAACATGGTCTCTGTATATGAATGCAACATTGGGAACCTGAAGATCCAACTGTTTAAAAGCATGATTGTAAAGCTGACACCAATATTGATAAAAACACGAAAATAACAGTACTTTTCACTTGATATCTCATTGCTTATGTAACTTTTCAGTTAATACATGTATAATGTTTTTCTCTGACAAATGAGAAAAGTAAAATCTACTGTATTATAAACTAATCTGACTTATGGGTATGGATTTCGATTGACAGGGTGTTTGATAACTGGCGCTGGTTGGTAAAACACAAGGCCACATGTAAGAGAAGCAGCAACCTATTCCAGACCTGCCAACTACAGGCTAAGTTCTCAATCTGGAGGTAAGAATATGAATGCATTTTCATGGTTTCTGAGCTTTGAGCTTATTCTAGTTGTTGGAATGAGAGAAAAATACTCTTTCATGCCAAGGGTGTAGGATTGGCCATTTCGAAAATATCAATTCTCTCTCTCCCCCCCCCCCCCCCCCCCCCCCCCCTGAGCTTTTTAGACGAAAACGAATCAGCCAGCCGGATTTAGCATATCTCATATTGGCAAACAGATCTTAGTTTGTGCAGGAAAATTAATCACATCTTTCTAATGTGTACTGTAAATATATCGTAAACGGTTTTGAAATTCATCATGTTGCCTTTTCCGCATTGCCGCATCGGAGAGTTCCAAATTCGTGACGTCGAGCCATTGTGATGTCACGTGAAATGGGGTGTAAGATAGAAATTTCCTACACCCCATTCTTACCCTGGACAGCTCTATCTTACACACAGGGAAATGAAAGAATATAAGTTTCTTTCATGCCCCAGGGTGTATGATAGAGAAATGCCAATCAAAGAGTTTTCTAATTGGTTGAAACTGGAGGCTTTACTAATTCAAATAACCAGATAAGCTAAAAGAAAAATTCACACATAAAATGTGTCACAGTTTCCGCATTGCAGCATCAGAATGATCCTGATTTCATGGCGTAATGTCACTGCTGTTCTACTGTGGCATCATGCACATGTTATGAGGGTGTAAGAGAGAAATTTCTTACCCCCCTTTCTTACCCGTAAATCTTTTTAGGTCACCTGAGCTGGCCATTTTGAAAAACTATTTCAAACTTAAATTCAAGTTTAACTTATTTAACTGAAACTTGGTAGGAATGATCGACTCATGGTCCTGGCAAAATGGGTTTTTTCAGGTCCATCAAAAATCCAATACGGTTGCCATAGCTGCCATTTTGGAAAAAAACTATTTAAAACTTAAAATCAAGTTCTAATAGGCCGAATTAACTGAAACTCGGTCTAGTAATGATCAACTCATTAACCTGACAAACTTAATTTAAAGTTATACCTAAGTATTTTTTATTCAAATTTTGGTAGGGATGATTGACATCATTATAGCCACTTCATATTTCAACAAAAAAAAAAAAGACTGTAGGACTCAGGTGACCGTTAAGGCCTCTTGTTTCTTAGATGCACAGGAATGAGAGAATTCACAAAAACTAACAGGCAAACCTTTCTTAATTGGTAAAAAGTATTGCTCTGAAGATCTTCTTTCCATGTGTAACTTTCCCTCTTTCTTATTAGAGGTTAAAAGAAAAAGAGAAAAACCTCCCAGGGTTGCATGAATATCATGAAATATTGAACATTTTGCAGGCGCCAGTATCTTATCCACCAACTGGAGAAGGATGTACGTAATACCAATAACATGAATCGTCTGAGACGCTGTGTACAGGGCTGGAGGCTGATTATCTCACGTAAGCACACAGCTCACTGCTTCCACCAGAGGGTGCTGGTGAGACAGACCTTCCTGTACTGGCGGGAGAAGGCCCTCGGACAACTGGAGAGACGTGTGGAGGCCAACGAGATTGAGGTAGATTCAAGATGATTCATCAGACTATCCTGGTATATTTTTGTAAAAAGATGGGTGTATTTTTCTGTAGAGGTACTGTCGTTTCTTTTATATTTTTTGTGGTCCTTCTTTATCAGGAGTAGTATATGTCAAATTTGAGATGGGGACGTATACTTAAAAATTTTGATGGACAAGTGTAGGTTCCACGACAACACATGACTGTAAATGTTCACGTTGCGATTCTTTAAACTGTTGGCAGTGCAAAATTTTTGCAGAGGCAATGGTTCTAATTCAGTATATTTTATATATCTTTTATCTGTATAATTCCTACTAATTAACGAACATGAAAAAAAGCATTTCAACAACACGAAAAACGAACATGAAAAAAAGCATTTCAACAACACAAAATATCTATTTTCTCAGTGAAACAATGAGGTGAACTTTTCCAAAGGAAACTCATTTCTATCATGAATTTTTTTGTGCTCTCCTTTTTTTAGGCATATCATATGTCCATTTTGAGGTCACACTTTGACCTGTGGTTAGCCAATGTTCGGGAGAAGGTAGTGGAAGAGGCGGCCATTGTTGTAAGGATGGACCAGGAGCGGACAGACTGCAGTCTTAGGACATCCTTCTTGTTCTGGCGTAGACACTTCAGGGCCATCGTTATAGCCAGGTAAAAATGTAAAAGCCAGAAAGCAAAGTCAAACATTACCTTTTGATACAATGGTAAAACAATCATTTTCAAGTAAATTTGTCTATTGAACTTACATACATAATGCTAGATAAAGACCTTACAAGTATCATTGGTATTCTGTTCTATTGCTATCATCTAGTTTATACTCTCGGAGTTGCAAACCTCTAAGGAGCTCTGTGTGGGAGATCTCTCTCCATTTGGGTTTCCCAATGTGTGATAATTTTGACGGCGCCGTTTCAGGTGTTGAGATTAGATTTTGTCTCATGTTGCGAGACTTGACAACCCTGTACTATTCACATATGAAAAATAAAATCAGTTTGAAATGTTATTTTAACTGCAGATAATTTATTCGTGTTGTTCTATCTGTTACAGAGAAAACCAGGCCCTCCTCTGCCGTAAACTCCAGTTACAAGCCATACAGGCATGGCACCATCTTACACAGGCGAGACTACACGATGCTGTACACAACTTCGCAGTTAGGCTGGGCCTTGAGTTACCCAACAGGGACAACATGTCAATATCATCAGGTATGCTTGTCCTGTTAACACAATTTATCAAAACATACTGTACCATAGATTCCTCTGATTGATCTGGACCCTACGAGTTCGAGTTAGCACCAAAGTTCAATGCATTTCGAAGGTATGCTCATTACAATATGTCACAGGTAAAGATATTGTCAAGAGGTTTGAAAAACAGGTTATACTTTGGGGTGCAAGTTTGATTATGGTACGGGATTGTTTAGGTGCACATGTTGTTGAAGAGTCTGAAGTAAAAGATTACAGGGTACATCTCTATCAATCTGAATACCTATGCATTGTGCATTGTCAATGCTGTGATTTTTATAGTGATGAGAAATAATGTCTCTGTGTGTAGGTGTGTATGAGTACGGACAATCTCCACTGAGTGACATATGTCCGTCTCCAAGGACAGACTTTAATGAGAGGACGGAACCATACCTGTCACCTGGATCAGGTACTCCCAGGAGGATAGAGGCCTTCTACTCCTCTGGGGGGGCAGGAACCCCTAATAGGAGGTATGTACTGTAAAGGGCAAGGGGTTTATTGGCATACTAACCAACCTATTCAAATTTCCATGAGGGAGATTCTGCATGCTCAAAATTGTTAACATAAATATGATGTTGTGTATTTAAACCCCTAGGGACCAAATAACCCTTTAAAATGACATATTTTAAGTTGTTCTTTCAGATGAAATAGTTAGATCTAAGAATGAAGGAATAGTTTAAAAAATTAAGTGATTGGAAATATTAAATGAGGGTGCAAATTGCAAAATATGAAGTCTCCCTCCTAAATAGGTAGAATTGTTAAGTATGATTTAGGGAATGGTCAGGCTTTGGTCCTACTTCAAATAGGAGGTGTAGTAGAATGCTGATAATTTGAACCCTATGGGAGAAATGCATGTACATAAAGAGGTACTAGGTTACCAATAACCAATGATATACTCTAGATTAGGAAGGAATTTATTGGAGACACAACAAAAGTTCAAATAATTAAAAGTTGGGATAATCAGCATTCTACTGCAAATATCAGGGGTGATTTTGGGTAAGGAAAGTGCTAATCCCAATGACTTAAGAAAGAAACCTGATCTGACAAGATTTATAAACAATTTAAGGTCATCCTGGGGTCAGTCAGGGTTCATGTACCGGTCTTAATGGGGTCAATCATTGGTCATAATAAAAAAGGTCAGTCAGAGGTCAAGTATGGGTCATCAAGAGATCACATGCAGTTTTTCATTGTTAATTATTCTCTATATGTTGTAGATTGTTCTCTCCATCCTTCAGCCTGTGGAGTTTGGACCAAGACAACGCCACGGCAGATTTCACCCTCCAACCTACTCTGGCTGACAAGTCTTTCCTTGACACTCGCTTTGCTATGGAACAGGCCGTGAAAACGGAGAAACTCAGGGTAGATAATTCCATAAAGATTGAAAATTGTAACTGTTAACATCTAATACATGTTTTTATGTAAAATTATTTTTATATTCATCCTGTCCCATCATTGGCATATATTTGTCTTTATAACATGATTATGAAATTACTTAGCAGCAAAGGTAAAGTTCTGTTTAACAAATCCTTTCCTTTCTCTCTTAAATTTTGATTTAACTAAAATGATTTGATTAAAAAAACAAAATCTTAATGAAAACATTAATTGTTTGCAGCTTATAACAGTTTTGTGTTTATATTTGTAGACGCTTGTGTTCCATGCTGTGAAGCGACTCAGATTTTGGCCAATTAGTGTTGCGTTTGACCAGTGGAAGGAATTCACCAATCGTCAACGAGAACTCAAAGCGTTGTCTAATCAGCTGCAAGCTTACATTAAGGAAGCAGAGATGAGGCGTGTGTTACGGATATGGAGAACAGCTCAAGCCAATAACAACAAAGCCAAGACGTTCATGGTAGGAATACTGGCTGATACACACCTTTCTTGGAATATGTCTAGACAAAATCAAAGGCCTCGCTCACAGTGAACTATTGGATTGGTGTCAGGTATAAAGACCTGACCAATCGCTAGGCTGATACCTGGGCTTTAAGTTTCAGAGGAGCTGCAGCGCGAATTCTTTGAGCTTCATCAAATATATCAGACTTGTAGCATCTGCTAGATGTTGCAGACATAGACTTCAGTTTTGTCATGACATAGTCCAATTGTGCAAAAATGATATGTGTATGGGGAGGGGAGGGGAACACTTGGATTGCAAAGATGGACTTTCCAAGAGAAATGAAAATGAATTGTGTTGGTGGAAGAGACAAATTTGCAAGAAAATCAATAGTAAATTGTTTTTAGTAGATATGGCAATACAAATGTTGCTAAATTTTATATCAATGAATCATCCCGATTTTTATACGATACAGCTTGTAATTCGTGTCTGTTTTTCACTATGCAGGAATCGTCTCTGAAGACCTGGGTGTTCACAACCTTGTACGAGAACAAATGTGTCTGCAAGCAGAAGAAACAGTTATCTGCCCTTGCCCATCATCACCTCTCCCTGAAGGTCTTTAGGAAGGTGTTCCCTGTATGGTTTGAGAAGGTCAGTGATCACATTTATGGTTCCTGTCCTCCAATAAACAGTTTGCTTTAATACATTGAGAGAATTTACCCAAACAGACTGTTTATATAATGCATTTATATATAACTCTTGTTGAGTTCAGATTATCAGTCACCTACAGGCTACTTCCTGTAAGTTGAAAATTTGACACAAAACAGCCTGATACACTTAAATTTTATCATTATACATATCACAGGTGAATTGCGAATAGAAAAAAAACAATACCTCTGCATTACCGGTAGTTGAACCAAATAATCCAAGATGGATGACTTATAGGAATAACAATGTTTATATCTCAGGAAATTGATAGTATGGTCATTGTAACAATTTCTGGACAGTAATTTGGTTCCAAAACAGAACAGCTTATGATATAAACAACTAAAAGACTATAATTGGATTTCTTGTGTAACAAGCCAAGTTATCTCCCTTTACTAGGCAAAAGAAAAACGCCACCAGGAGCATGTTTGTCACTTGTGGACCAACCTGACTCCTGAGGAACACACCCTGCTGCCCCTGGAGACTACTGTCAAGGGACGCATTGAAAAGAAGACTCTGCAGAAGTGCTTTGCTGTGTGGAACCTCAAGTTTCAGCAAATCTATAGACTGAAGAAAGCCTTTGATAATGTTCTGCTTCAGAGGTAAGTGTACCGAGAGAGTAAGTGAGGTCTTTGATAAAGGTCTGCTTCAGATTTAAGTGTACAGGGTATAGGTCTGTGAAAAAGGTCTGCTTCAGATTTAAGTGTACAGGGTATAGGTCTGTGATAAAGATCTGCTTCAGATTTAAGTGTACAGGGTATAGGTCTGTGATAAAGGTCTGCTTCAGATTTAAGTGTACAGGGTATAGGTCTGTGATAAAGGTCTGCTTCAGATTTAAGTGTACTGGGTATAGGTCTGTGATAAAGGTCTGATTCAGATTTAAGTGTACAGGGTATAGGTCTGTGATAAAGATCTGCTTCAGATTTAAGTGTACAGGGTATAGGGCTGTGATAAAGATCTGCTTCAGATTTAAGTGTACAGGGTATAGGTCTGTGACAAAGGTCTGCTTCAGATTTAAGTGTACTGGCTATAGGTCTGTGATAAAGGTCTGATTCAGATATAAGTGTACAGGGTATAGGTCTGTGATAAAGATCTGCTTCAGATTTAAGTGTACAGGGTATAGGTCTGTGATAAAGGTCTGCTTCAGATTTAAGTGTACAGGGTATAGGTCTTTGACAAAATCTGTACTGATTGATTTGATGTATGTGTAACAAAACTGAACAATGCAAATGATACATGCAACTTCAACAGAGGATTCTACCAGTGATCCAAGACATTTTCATTAGTGCCAGACGCTTTACTGCTAAGGGCTAAACTGAAATTCCCTGTAAGCATGAAGGCCGAACTTGATCAAGATAATGTTGTTGTGAGTTGAAACCTACCACATACATGTATGTTTTGATTGGTTGTTTCGTGCTGTTAATATTTTACCTGCTGTATACTCATTGGTTGTTTTTGTCACCCCAGGTACTTGGAGGAGTGGCAGGTATGGTCCCACCAGAGGCGACAGAGGAGGGAACAGTCAGTCACATTCTGTACACACAGACTTAACAAACAGGTACAGTATATCTAGCATCGTTCTACATAATAAGGGGATAGCCCTACAAGGGTGTTTTCAGAATTGTGGTGGTATGTCATGATGATACTGTCACTAATTGAGGTTTTACTGGTGATGAAGGAGCAATTACTTCCTGCACAATCATTTTTAGAATTTGATGAGAGTGTGCATCAATTCTCAAGCTTGTTGGCTTACACTGAACACCATTTCTTTTTTTACAATTTTTACACCCCCTCCATTTTATGGGGGGAGGGGGTGTTAAAATCAATATATCATGATAAATTATTTTTTCACTTGGATTATAACCCCAGAACAAAAAGGTGAAAAAAAGGATTATGTCATTCTCTTCTTAACATGATCTTGAAGGAAGATAGTTTTTCATGTAATAATAGATTGATTCAGAAATATTTCAAACACAAATGATTGCCACAGATGAAATAAAAATGACCGGTTATTGTCTGTTTTATCTTAAGATTTGTTCTCAAGGTTAAATTTTCTGCATGCATGTACATGTACATGTATTCCATTATTCAGGCAGGTGTATGTTTTGATTGTTACAGGTATTTTACTTGTGGCGGTTGAGGTATCAACAGCAATCGCAGGTAGAAATACAATTCAAGAATGTTTGGCAGAACCATCTAATGGGTGTTGTCAGGGAATGGCACAGGTGGACTCTAGGTAAGGTTGAAGTCCCTTTGATTCAAAGTGTAAAACTATTGAGCCATATTGTTTATTACTAGAGCCCAACATATAAGATGGTAATGCCCCATACTATTCATAGTGTCTGCCTGTCCGTCAACATTTTCATTTCCAGAAATCATCTACGCATTCAAAGAATTAATCTCCCTGAAATGTAATGACATGGAGATACACTGTGAAATGTATATGTAGATTAGACTGGCCCCCGTCTCTAGAATATTATATAGATCTTTAATTATTTAGAAGAAAGAAATAACTAATAATTTTGATCACTTGGATGGCTGATTCTTAACTAGGGGGAGATAAGCTAGTAGTAAAATGCAGTTGAGAAATTCTTTATAAAAACTAAGGGACTGATAGCCATTCTAATATGTAGATGTGCAATAGGGGTTTAAAAAGTCTCTGAGGCCAAAGTCAAAGTTACTGTTACTAAAACAGACTATGAGATTATATATATTAATATTATGGTCAGGCACATGGTGGGCCACTAATGCTGGTTTGTCATTGTTCTAGTGTTAAGGTAAAAATTCCATGAATTGCCACAAATATTAACATCTAGTTTATAATATGAATGTACTTAAATTAGCAATTTTGTCTCTTAACCCTTTCACCACTGTAGACCATAATGGACTCATCCATACCAATGCATGGTAGAGTCTACTAAAGTTACATAGGGGTGAAAGGGTTAACAAACTGACTAGCTCACAAGTTTCGTACTCTTAAAAGTCATGCTGTCATCTGCTCTTTTGTAATATATTATTCCATTTACTTGCAGCTGCAAAGCAGCACCGCCATATATCAAAATTGATCGAGAAAAAACAGCACCACCACCTGGTGGTGAACACCTTCATGAAGTGGAGACTGGAAACTAGAAAGCACCAGCAGATCACAGTATGGTACCAGTCACGACTGGCTCTCAAGTAAGTTTGATAAAACAATTGATGGAATGAAAAATCTGACATACTGTGAAATCACTAATTTTCGCAGGTATTTTTAATTTGTTGATTTTGTGGGTAATTTTCATCCACAAATTCATAAGTCCACAAAGTAATTACAGATTTGACATTAAGCAATTCCTTGTTTGAGTGGGTACTTATATTCCACAAATATATATGCCCACAAAATGGTGTGTTTTTCGGGGAATCACAAAATTTAGGCCTCATGAAAATATTTGATTTCACAGTTCGCTACATCTGTTCAGCTATTATTTCAAGGGCACAGCTCTTGAAAAAAAATCAAAAATTAAGTCATCCAAGTTAGACCATAGAACTGGCGATTTGTCTGGATTCTTTTTGTTTAAAGCAAATACAGAAATAGCAGAAAAGACTTTTATATGCAATCCAAAAGTCCCTGACATCCGACCAAAATGTGGTATCATTTTAGAATTAACAAAGGGCTATAATTTTGCATATAGGGTGGCACTTTTAGATCTGATTCCTGTATGTGACTCTACGCCATTCGAAGAGATACTATAGCTGACATGCAGAACTTTTTGAATGTCAGGTGACAGAGTATATGCTCTGAACAAAGTTAAAGAATCATATTCAAGTTTCCTTAGGGCCTTTGGAATGTACAGTGAAACCTCGATATAATGCCCCTTGTTTCATTCGCCACTTTGTTTCCCACCAACATATTTCAATGTCCCTTTTTCTTGTTTTCGTGACATTTCTTTTATACATTTCTCTCAATCTATTGCCAAACCCCTTTATAATGCCAAAACTTCTCTGGACATATGCCATGGCATTATAACAAATTTTTACTGTATGCCTCGAGTTTAAATGGTTTACCTGTGTTATACACAAATGAAATAAAATATTCCATTCATTTGTTTGACTGTCAGTCAAGATTATTGGCACCTGCACTGATTGTTTAAAATAAAATAAAAGCCTGTCCTGTAGATATTTTTGCAATTTTTCCCCTCTGATGTTTTTAAAAACTATTTGCTGATATGTCCGATGCCTACTGATATTTCAAAGAGCTGTTAAATGCACCCTCGTTCAAAGATTTTTAAAAAAAGCAGCAAAAAGAACTGTTTTTCAGAAGTAAGTTGCCAATGGCTGCAAATGATATTCAAACATCTCCAAATTAATTGACAAATGATATTTTTGTCTAATGTTTCAATATGGTTACTCAAAGTTGTAAAATGTATAAAATATAACACAAGTGTACATTTGTGCTTCCAGGGTTTTCTACAGCTGGCATCAGGTGACTGCACAACAAAAGACGAGGAAACGCCAAATCTTGGAATTCCGGGTCAGGAGCTACACCAAACTGGTATATATATATATGTTCAGTGAATTTGAAGACAATTGGGGTGAATGCATGTGTAAATGGGAGGGCTATTTGTCAATCAGATATCACCGTTCATGTAAATAAGGAAGTGCAGGTCAGAGGTTTTTCTGCCTGTTTTGGCAAATGCGTGACCTGACCAAAAAATCCCTCTTTGTCTTTCTCTGTTAAAAAGATGGAATTGGTTAAATCAATGAAACCACAAAAAAAATCATGCAAGTGAATTCCCTAGCTACATATATATTTAGGGGAGAACTGTGATTTCTTTCTTCATAGGTAAGATGAATTTTGCTTTATAACTCTTTAGGTGGGGAAACTGTTCCGTACCTGGCACAACTACTATATCAGTCGCCTACAGCAACATCAGGAGCATGAGAAAGTTGTCCGTATGCGAGCTCTACAGTTGTGCAGGAGGTGGCATCGAAAGGCACAGACCACCAGGGGGTGTCGTCTCCAGCAACACTTCAAACATAGACAGGTAAGGACCCCAGGGGGCGTCATCTCCAGCAACACTTTAAACATAGACAGGTAGGGACCCCAGGGGGCATCGTCTCCAGCAACACTTTAAACATAGACAGGTAGGGACCCTAGGGGGCATGGTCTCCAGCAACACTTCAAACATAGACAGGTAGGGACCCCGGGGGGCATGATCTCCAGCAACACTTTAAACATAGACAGGTAGGGACCCCAGGGGACGTGGTCTTCAGCAACACTTCAAACATAGACAGGTAGGGACCCCGGGGGCATGGTCTCCAGCAACACTTTAAACATAGACAGGTAGGGACCCCAGAGGACGTGGTCTTCAGCAACACTTCAAACATAGACAGGTAGGGACACCAGGGGGTGTCGTCTCCAGCAACACTTCAAACATATAGACAGGTAGGACACCAGGGGGTGTCGTCTCCATCAACACTTCAAACATAGACAGGTAGGTCACCAGGGGGCGTTGTCTCCAGCAACACATCAAACATAGACAGGTTGGACACCAGGGGTTGTCGTCTACAGCAACACTTTATACATAGACCGGTAGGGACCCCAGGGGGCATCGTCTCCAGCAACACTTTATGCATAGACAGGTAGGGATCCCAGGGGGCGCGGTCTCCAGCAACACATCAAACACACCCAGGTTGGACACCAGGGGCTGTCGTCTACAGCAACAGTTTATACATAGACTGGTAGGGACGCCAGGGGGCGTTGTCTCCAGCAACGCTTCAAACATAGTGAGGTAGGGTCCCCAGGGGGCATCGTATCCAGCAACACTTTATACATAGCCAGGTAGGGACCCCAGGGGGCGTTGTCTCCAGCAACACTTTAAACATAGACAGGTAGGGACCCAAGGGGGCGTCGTCTCCAGCAACACTTTATACATAGACAGGTAGGGATCCCAGGGGGCGTGGTCTCCAGCAACACATCAAACATAGATAGGTTGGACACCAGGGGTTGTCGTCTACAGCAACACTTTATACATAGACTGGTAGGGACCCCAGGGGGCATCGTCTCCAGCAACACTTTATACATAGACAGGTAGGGATCCCAGGGGGCGTGGTCTCCAGCAACACTTCAAACATAGACAGGTAGGGACCCCATGCTAAAAGTGGAAACTGCTAAAGTGTCATATCTGACTTTGTTGATTATTTTTCTTTTACCTGCAGCACAAAGTTTTTGTTTCAAAAGATGATAGTTAATATCAGGTCCTAATTTCTCTATGGATACATTACAACACAATTATGTTGACTTGTTTGATAACTTTTGTTGATTGTATCATTTTCTAAATAGTTGCAGTCCTATTTCCGACGATGGAGGACGTGTTACGACCGTCACCTGGAGCGTGAGGACACGCTGGCCTGTTATGTCGCCCGTAAAGACGAGCAGCTTGTCGGTCGCTACCTAACACGCTGGAGGACCTCAGTGATGTGTTGTCAGGCTGGTCGAATGTTTGATACAAAGCTCACCAGCACTGTGTTCACTGAATGGCGTGTCTTCACAGCAGGTAAACTAGTTATAAGCATTATACAGGTTATTTATATGCAATATAAGTTACAAACTGTAATTTACTTATTTTATTAAAATCCATAATTAATGAGACCAGTACCCCTCAAACTGTAATACTGACCCTTTATAGAGAAAAAGTGGGTCATCACAGGACAGCTCTCAACCAATCATGACTAGAAAAGTGTAGAAGGAAAATGAAAAATGGGGAACAAAAAACATAAAAGTTAATCGAGTACCATGAATATGTCTGCAGCTTGTTCTGTTTAAATGTGTGTTATTTGATTATCAGTTTGTGAAATTTATTTACAGACTTAAGACTGAATGTATACAGTATTTCCAATACCCCGCACAATATTTTTGTATACCCCCAATTTTATTGGGGAGCATATGGTGTTACCCTTGTCCTGTCATGTTGCATCTAGTCCTTATTCACCTTCATCATTCTAGCAATTTCATTTAATAAAAAAAATCGTCAAGCTTTATATGAAGGTCAAGTATGAGAATTCTTTAAATGAGCTCATATTTCAAGAAGCTAAGGCCAAAGTCACCATTACTATTCATAGAAATTCCCCATTTTCTTGGTAAATTGCATATGAACCCTTATGAAAAAAGGATTAAATTTTTGGAAATCCTCTAATACAGAACTGATATTTTAGAAAAATTACTATTTATGGGAAAGAGAGATAAAAGTATGTGTTAAATTTTGCCGTTTCAGAGGCCAAAAAGAGACGTGCTGCATGTGCAGTGTTCCAGCGAGCCCGGCAGCAGCGTAGTGTAGTGGTACAGTTCCTGTACTGGGTTCATATCACACGGGTACGCCGGTCCATCCACCACCACTTCAACCTTAAGCTACAAATACGGTAAGTCTTAAAGAAATATGTACACAGGGATTCAGTTAAAACATATTTTGTAAAACAAATATCATGATGTTCTTCACAGAGACTGACATCTTTAATGATTTCATATATCAGTACAAATAACTATTGCCTGGTAGTTGAAAACCTGTTGTAACAAAAGCATTAAATTATAAGGAAGATAATGGAAAAAAGAAAGACAATTTTAACTTGAAATTAACGTGCTTAAACCATTCATATGTGAAAATGATTGCTAAATGTCTGTGATTGTGAGGGAAACTCTTATATAATGATTGCATTATAGCACAACTTATCCAGAGAATGTTTTTATTAAAATCGTTTCAGGGTCCTACGAGGTTGGGCAGTGGTAGCAAGACGGCGCCGTAAATTAAAAAGTCTAAGTGATGTGATGACAGCCCGTGTCAATCGACGGGTGATGATCTCCACGTGGTATACGATGAGGGAAGACTTTGATTATTACCAATCCCTCACCGACATGTGCAGCAAGGTAGGTTCATTCAGGGTTATTTAGGTCCTGTTTAGGGTCATTTTAAGTCAAATAAATGGCCTGAAATCTCCCTTTGATTGCAAATGCTTTGAATACAGAGAGCCGAATGTGTAACCTTGATGTGTCTAAACTCATCATACAAATAAATAACACTCAAAGTTAACACTGGTCAGTCTGGTAACACTGGTTTTTGTAAAATCTGGAAATCAATCCTGTTCCTATGTATATGTGTCTTATATATAGAGAGATTTATACTTCAAGGTGCATACCCTGTCTCATTTGGTAATGTAAGAACACACATCGACCATAGTCAGTCTTGAGGTCTATAGAATTAGAAAGCATTAAACCTCTATAATGCTACAAATAGAGCTTTAAAATAATGGATTGGTCACAGGGAATTATTTACCCTCGGTGAACTTTACTTTTAGCTGTCTTGTTGGTTCTAAGAATGTTAACATGTTAAAACAGTTCCGAAAATTATTTCAGATTGAGGTTAGGAGAAAACTCTCCTGCAACCTCTGAAAGAATGGCAATTCTAAAAAGTTAAATACAAAAAAATGTTAAAAAAAAATCAATTTGAACTCGAACCAATAGCTTATGAGTAATCAAAGCTTTTTGATTGAAGGAAAGAAAGAAAGAAGGATTAGGATGACTTTATGTTTGTCTGTTACAGGTTGCTCAGGACAAGGATCGCAGCTGTTTGCGTCAGGCTCTTGTTAAGTGGAGAGAGCGGCTCAACAGGGTTATTGCTGGCCACTGCTATCATCATATGCTGGCTCGTAGGGGAGTCCGGGTTTGGCGACGCTTTGTTTCCAACCGCAAACAGGAACGGCAACACCAACAAGACCAGGAGGAGAAAGCAGTTAGGCACCATAACAGACACATAAGGTTGGAATTGCTACAAAGATCTCTCAAAATCATCTTGCCTCGTTATTGATGATGGGTGATGTACATTTATGTCTTTGGTGGTAGGGTGATATGAATGTTTGTTTACCTGAGTAGTCATATTCCTAACTCGGTACAAAATTTTAAGAGTATATGAAACAGTCATAATAATGTGGGCCATGGCATTCATAGCTGATATGAATCGTGCTATTCAAACTAGGTAGGGTTGCAAAGTGGCATTTTGCCATAGAGTGGTATATGCTTTACAAATGTAAAACCGCCAAAACAATTTATCCACAAATACCTCATATTAAACAGTATATGCATGTATAATCAAGATATTGCAGATTTTTTTTGATATATTCCTCATCTGAGCACTATTTGTTACAGTCGCATGGTCCTATATGCATTGCACAGCGAGATCTTGGTGGTACATCAGGTGCAACGCCATAGCAACCGACTGTCTCAGAAATACGGCCGGCTGTGGAAGCTCCGGGTGGATATGATGTACACTGCAAAGATCCTGGTATGTAACACTTTAAAGTCACCACTTCTTGCAGTAGATAAACTTAATGTCCTTAAAATTTAAAAGACCAATCTAAGTACAAAACACGGCCTTTGTATTGAGGTTGTAAGTACTGACTCAAAAGCTTTGGCATTTGGAAGTTATCACGGTGTGTACATCAAACAATCACAAATATTACTTTTGTGAAGATCGAGAGATGTATTTTTTTAATTAAATGTATATTGAATGATTCACCTAATTTGTAAGTGGAAGACATGACAAGTGATATTACTAGTCAAACTTACCAAAGTTGATAAGTTGGACAACCTTTATCAGTGATTAGCCTGCTTATTTTCTTGAAAACCACGCAATATCAGAATTTGTGTCCTCAAAATCACATTGAGAGGTCAGAGGTTGATTGTCCAGGACTTTTAAAGATGATTTATGATTATGTACTTATTCTACTCTACCTTTCTATTTCATTCACAGGAAAAAGAAAACTTATACAAGACTTGTTGGCGACAATGGAGAATACAGTTTGCTCAACAGCTTGCGGTGAAAAGAATGTACAACTACAATGAGAAACATCTGTTAGCCCAGGTTTGCTATTGTTTCCACACAACCATTCCGTATACCAGACAATTCAAACTATTTTGAGGATAAGCTAAGAATTGGCTGTGGTTTGGGGGAGTCAAGTTACTTGTATTTCATATGTAATAACATATAATATGTTACTGTAAGAGGTATTCACTTATTAGAAATAGATTTTGAATTTGGGTAATATTCACTTATTGTAAAATATTGCTGAATAATGTTTTATCAGGGGTTATTTTCCTCATGTGTTATATTCTCTCTGTAGTATTGTATTTTCTCAAAGTTGTATTTTTCCAATGTACTTTTTAAGTATTCAGTCTCTTTTTTTTCTCTCATGTGGTGTGAGTTGTCTAAAGTAATGTATTTTCTTGTATTCTCCCCTGTAGTGTATATATCCTGTTCACTTATTCCTCTAACTCAATATTTACAGGTGTTTGTGACGTGGAAGAATGTGAGCTTGAAAAGGAAACCACTCAAGTACCTGACATCATCACCAATCCCGTCCTGCATTCCAGTACTTCGCCTCCCCAACACTGGTCTTAGTTCAGGGGAGTCCACTCCATCACCAAGTCCCCGCCCCACCCAGATCCCAGGGCCGTTAAGTGCACGGGGAAGCTCAGTGACAGGGGTCACGGGGTCAAGATTAAAACAGCGTAGATCATCTGTACCTGGTATTATACCTATCAAGAAGAATTGATTCTAGCACTTCTTCGATATTTCAAGACTGGCAGAAAGATGTTGTAGAAGAGACATTGAATGTTTGTAAAAGTTGAAGTGATGTGTCATCTGCATGTACAAACTGGCAAAAGGCACAATCAATTTTACCTTTGTGTTAACGGGTTCAGAAAAGATTGGATACAAATGTAGCTGTGTGTTGATGGTCATGTAAAGCAAGTGTAGTAGTGTGTTAACATTATGAGTTAACTCAATAACCCCTGAAGTTTCATAATGAACTATTCTAACCTTTGAATTTGAAGGGTTCAAATGTGTCTTCAGGGGTGAATGAGTTGTAAGTAGCAGTGTGTTAAAATAATGGGTCAAATACATTTTTGACAGTCAAGGAAATCGAGTATTGGCGTTCAAGCTAAGCTGTGATATCATAAGAATTAATAAAAGTATTATCATATAATATAGGTTTGCTAATTATCGGTGCAAAAGTATTCTTTATCATGACAGTATCCAGGTAGCTATCTCATTTTCTATTTCATCCTATGCTTGAGCTACATCTGTATACCATTTTAACTTACTGGTTTTGTGATATGTCATAAGAAACAGTGAGATGACATCATAATTTACCCATGCACAATGGTTTTTATGCTGGAGTTTTTTGCCATCAAATGTTTTACGTATGTGATCAAGGGAACACATTTGATAAGAAAACTGAACAGAGCCTTGCTATGTGATAAAGACAACCTGAGTGTTCACATTACGTACGTTACTTCAGAAACGTGTTGCAGCTCAATTGTTTCAGAAAGAAGGTTATATCCAATTGGTCCTCTTTACTAGAGGTGAATTAATATATCTTGACTTTTAACATTTAAAAAGTTTGATATATCAAAATTATGTGTTGTTTTTCTTTAATATTTAAAGATTAGATGGAGCATAAAATTTCTGTGATTATTTAAAGTTCTCAATTTGTTTCATGAAAACCTCTTGATTGATTTTCAATGAAGTTCATTCTTAAAATCAATGAAATTGATAATCAAATTATCTTGCCCATATTAGTATTTTGACTAGGTGTAGCCTAATATTTTAAAATATATTAGAGACGTCTCCATTTTGAACATATTGCCCTTATAGGGTCCTTTGCTGGACTAAAAACTTACATTTGAATATAATTGGGAACCAAACATACATGTAACATACATGCATATGTTTTGTAGTATTTATATTTTTGATTTAGACTAGTGCTAGTACATATTATTGTATTAGATTCATGAGAAACCTTCTCACAAAAAGGCAAATTAATTCTTTTGAAAATAAGGTAAACAACATGGAACATGTAAACAACATGCAACATCAAAACCAAAGAATTTACCATATTTTACCTGTATGCAGTACTTAATTAGATGACCACTAGAACAATTCCTGAATTGTACTGTAAACTATATATAGAGAAGTGATCAATTCTAGACTTCATCTGGTTTTTGTCTATTCCGTCTTTGCGTATTGCAGAGTTATCTTCTCTTGTGAGCAGGGATTGATTGGTACGTCATTGATTTGTGAGAGTTACGTTAACGTCATCAATTTTTGAGAAAACGACGTAATTTTCTCACACAAACCAATGACGTAACAATCAATACCTGCTCACAAGAGAAGATAACTCTGCGATACGCAAATACAGAATACAACTTTAAGGTATGGATTATAAACATCCCTGTAAAAGTGGTTTAACCAGTGGGGTGCGCTTATTTCAGGTAACATATAATGTATGTGAAATAACCGATGTTCAAGACATTACCTTATCTGTTATGCGATTTCTTGACAATGTAACAATATACGTCTATTTTACCAAATAGACCCAAGTTATGCTTTAGTAGAAATTACTAGGACTTCTCGCAGTCAATATTTGTTATTGTCCGTAACAAATTGGGCATTGTAGATTGATCAAAACGCTCCGAGAGAGATGCAGACTAAATTGGTAATTTGAGGGAGAGGCAATCACATGAGGGAGACTCTATGTTTTGTTACCCAGTCATGTGATATGCTAACCAGTTAGCTATGCTGAAACACAAATGAGTTATGATAATATAAATACTTAAGTTTGGTGATTGAAAAAAAGGTATGTGTGGAATATTTTTTAAACTAATCACATCTTAAATTTCCCTAATATATTAATTTAGGGGAAAGGAAGAATTGTGTGATTGTGCCCAACTCATTGTTTATTTGTAAGTCATTTTATTTTCATATATATATAATGATATTGGTAGGCATTATTATGAGAATCAAACCTTATCATGTATTTATACTTGAGGGTTTTATTGAATTTCTGCCGACACTTTGTGTGCCAAAAACTGTCCTTTGATCATCTATGCAGATATAAGTGATTATTTTGTGACATTTTAATCTTTAATTTATATTTGAATTTAGAATGCATGTTAGGACCTACATACATTTAATGAACAATGATTTTGTTTTATTCGTTTAGTTAATTTATGTGATAGCTTCAATTTTTTTGAAATCATTGCAATTTTGATTTTAAAAAGTGAAAAAGTGAAAGTTGGATGTGTACTTTCAGAGTCAAAGAGTTCAATTTTCAAAACTTATTAAGCTGGAACTGTGCTCATATTGTTCATAAGCAACAAGGCTAAGCATTTGTAGTAATTTGTACAATACATATGTATACATATACAGCGCTCCACTGCAAATGTAAAAGTTTTACAGCAAGGTGTTGATAAGGCTATGCAGTACAGGAGCATTTTGTTCTTATGACATAACGATAAGTAAAACCCAGAGAATTTGAATCAAATTATTTGCTGAATAATTCTGTTAAAAGTCTTGATCATACATACATGTGGATGTGCCTTAAGTTCACTATAACTGAAGGTGAATGTAAGGGTTGGATAAATTCTACATGCACATGTCAATTAATAATATTTTAATGTGTTGACATTGACAAGGACATGTGTAAACCATGTTATAGTCCTTCAGCTGAGATAAAGTCCATGGTATAAAAACAACTGGATCACTCATTTTCTGTATTTTGCTGTTTTTATTTAATTTGTTCCTGATAAAAGAATCATTTTAATTCATGACATAAAAAACAAATTTTGACATTTTTACTTTGTCTAAAGCATGCTGTGATTTGAATTTACAAGATGTAATATTTTCTGTTTTTATTTCTGTCCAAAGCATGTGTGATATTTGTGATGCTGTCCTACAACCAAGCCTGTTGTAGCCAATTAAGAATTTATGTATCCCATGTCTTGTATACTGTGGTATTCAATTAGAATTAAAAGTTGTCTTTGTTACCTTATTTCAATGCCATTTGTTTACATTTTTATTTATTTATTTATTCATTTATTTTACCTACTTACTTATCTTATTGTTACTTATCGTTGTTTTCTGACTGAGGCTCCCTAAGGATCCTCTACATCACTCTTCGGATTTTACGCGCCTTCCGGTGATGTCAATATTTGATTACACTGACTTTGTAATAATTTTGGAGAGGTATGAAGATATTGCACGATTTGAAATTGAAAAATAACCTTCACTGTAGAAAATGACTCCAGACTTTTAAAGTACAGTCGTAATATGATATTAGATCAATTTTCAAAGATATGTTTGAAGAAAAGACCAACACAGTGACTTAAACATTAATGATTATTCTGCTTTTGTAATCAATTTGTAATGTGCTTTTTGAAAGACAATTTTTTGTTTGAATTACCATATATTATAAACTCCAACAATCAAAACTAATTGAAGGTAGAATTGTTGAAGCCAGTCTTTGGATTAGACTTGAAAAATCTGGGGTGTTTTGAAAAAGTGAAATGCATGGTTTTGATATTTTCCAGGCAGGCTACAGTAGTTGTAACTTAATACAATAATACAAATTATTGATTCAAGTTACATTGGTGCGAGTCACTTCTAAGAAACTTGTGTGGCCTATGTATCTGGTTTGAGACCGTTGGTGCTGATATGATTGTATCAAATTGTAGTATTTATTTATTAAGTGTTTTTAGGATTTTGTAGGGCGAAACTCAATTTCAATTTTTGTTGGGAATAAAAATTGTTTGAAATAGCATCCAATTGCTTTTGTATTTTCTGTTCTTTAGCCTGTAAGATGTGACAGGCCATGGACGACTGTGTTACAATGTCTAATTCATTATTATGATATCGACCAAACAATTGATTCACTGATGTTGGCACCTGTTCAGTAAATCAACATTTCTTTGAAAGCCTACTCATTAGAATGACTGAATGAATGATTATAAATGAAAAGTGTGTACTCCTCTGAAATCTATCCATTTAGATTCCTTGTCATGGTGCTAACTTCAGAAAAAATGATAGCAACAAAGCTCAAACTTGGTTTGTTGGTTGTCCAAAGGAAGATGTATCGACTCTGGGTGACTTGACAAAGGTCAAGGTCATTGTTACTCAAAATAGAATTTACATCAAATGACCTGTCTTGAAGCTAACATATAGAAGGAATGATTGCACAAAGCTCAAACTTGGCAATACATGTATGTGGGTGCAGTTCTGTACCTGTATGTTTGTGTGCTACTGGGAAAGAGGAAAAACCCTATAAATTTATCTTTTGGGCATGGTTCATCACAGGTCAAGGTTTCTTACTAAAAATGCAATTTTGTGTCCAAATCCTATCCTACCTCTAGAACAAATGATTAACTTGAACGTTATCAGAGGTCAAGGACACAGTTACTAGAATGGAAGAATCAAGAACGTTACATACCACAGATGCAAACAGTTAATTGACATAGAAATCCAAGATTGCTACCCTGTCCTCTGATTGAAAGCAGCACAAGATAGTTTTTATATGCAGCCCGTCTTCGACGGAAGTATTATATGGAATGGGGTTGTCCGTCTGTCCGGCGTAAACTTTTGTTTGTCAGGCAATCTCCTACATTTTTCAACCGATCTCTTTGAAACTTGGTATACATCATATTCATGATATGAAGTTGCGTCTCCCCTAAAAGAATTTTGATTCAACAATTTTTCCAAAAGTTATTTCCCTTTGTTCATTTCAGTATTTGGTTTTTTTGTCCTGAAATCTCCTACATTTTTTGACGGATTTCTTTGAAACTTAGTAGGCTAAATAATCATGATGTGTTGTTGTGTTTCCTTGAAAAGAATTTTGATTCAACAATTTTTGCAAAATGTATTGCCCTTTGTTTATTTCAGTATTTGATTTTTGTCCGGCAATCACCTCCTACATTTTTCAACGGTTCTCTTTGAAACTTGGTATACATTATAATCATGATATGAAGTTGTGTCTCCCTTTGAATCGACGATTTTTGCAAAAGTTATTGCCCTTTGTTCATTTCAGTATTTGATTTTTTGTCGGGAGATTTTCTTCTACATTTTTTATAGCATGTCATGCAACAACTTTTAGAATGATGCAGATCTTATTTCAATGTAAGAAAGAATATAACACTATATGGCATTCGAGGGGCGTATATTGTTCTGCCCCGTGGTACTCTTGTTTAATAATTCCAAGTTCTGCCTTAATATTGAATTTGACCAAAATTGGTACAAACGTTCCCGATACTTATTTGATCCAGTAGTATGTTGGCAAAATAAGAAATCAAGGCCTTGATTTGTGCCTTCTAATCCTATAACTTTAGATATCCGAGCTAGCCTGGTTCTATGCTTTACAAGCCGAAATGAGCTGGGACAAAGAGTTAGCTGATAAAGTTTTGGTATATCATAGTCCAAGTGTCTATTCCATGCTGGAATATTAGCTGAATTGGAGGTAAAACATCCAATGATTTAGGCAAAGATCGAAGCCCATTAGTTCTCTTGTTTGTGTTTGTTTGGGGGAAAAAATCTTACAAGTAAATGTAAAACACACTGTTCTTTTTAATAAATTTAAAATCAGTACAATTATGCTTCAATTTGTCATGCTTTAAGACTACATTTCTGAATACAGCAGCTCAACATTAACATTTTTAAAAAATCAACAATGAATTTGAAAATAATTTTGAAGATTAGTTGAAACAACTGATGTTAAAATGCAGTGTCATCAGAGGTCAGATTGTATAGAGTTTCAAGGATAAACTGATGTTATAATGTTACTGTAGCAATTGATTACCAAACCTGACTAAGGTACAAATTTAAGTCATTTAAAAAAAAAAAAAAACCAATTAAAAGTGGAATTCATCAGTGTTTTGCCATCAGTTGGACAGGGATCTTTAACATAGTACAACATGCATAACTCATTCACTATCAGTAACATGTTTCTACACACATGTACATACTAATACTCTTAGTTACACAAGTGTGATATTTTTTCTATCAAACAAGTATACACATATGGATTTATACATAATTCCTACACCTATCTACAGACACTCAAAATATGCAACATCTTATATAAAACACAAAAACTGTATGGTCTATCTCACTTAATATCAGGTTTTCTCAGTTTAGAGTCAGTAAAACAAAATGCCAAAAAAAACCAATTTTACCATACCTCGTTACACGGAACAGCTCTTAAAGACAACGTTGCAAGTTATTACCTGTAATGTATCATAGTGTAATAAAAGACTATATTCACAGTCATGCACATGCAAAAAAAATTTTATTTGTTTTTTTAAATAAAAAAAATTGTAAGGATTATTAACTTATTTCATTAACATTTGTTAAAACTCTGGCACAAAAAAAAGTATCTTAATTTTTACAACTTAACTATTAAGGAATAAAATGAACTTTACTTACATATTAAAAAAATGCATATTAATTCATTTATACACATAAATAAACAGACAACTTCTATTAAACTCTTTCACAAAAATATATCCTTGATGGATTAATACATGTAATCAAATTTTGTTAAAAATAGGAAATTAAATTTGCTTTCATTCATTTATAAACATAAATTAATGGAAAACTTCTATTAAAACCTTTCTTAAAAACATATCCTTGATGGATTAATAATCAAATTTGGTTAAAAATAGGAAAATGAATTAGATAAGTACTAAATAAATAAAAGAATTAATGTTAAATGAAGAAAATATACAACAAAGTCATAATAAGAATTACAGTTACAACGAATTAAAAAATTCACCACAAAGTGAATAGAAGAATGTCAACATATCTTTTCCACCGTTAAAATATTAGGATGGATTGAGCATTTTATATTTAATGCTAGTATTTAATGTACTTTAAAATTCAAATCCTTTTCGTGTACATTTTGTTGATCATTTTGCAATAAATATATATAAACAAATTATCAAAACCTAGCTAAACAAAATAAACTGTATCACTAGTATTTCACGGAGAGATTTTAAAATCGCAAGACTGTTAGCAAGCGGAAGTGGAAATAAATTCCTATATTCAATTATATTTAAAATTGATCTATCTGTTTTATTAATAAATGATTATTTATTAGTATAAGTAAATGGGAACTGTTCTCCCCCACTTTAGTTTGCCTTTTATATGAGCCGAGATCAGTGCACTGACTATTTAGATTTCTATTAACCTATGTCATAACAGACATGAATCTTTCATAAATTCAAAAAATAGCAGCACTCATTTAAATAGACAGCTTAAATTTGATACTGGCCAATATTGTTGATTTGACATACTATTCACAATCTGCGAAACAATCATGTCCTTGAGAAAGCACTATAAGCAAGTTACTCATAAAAACACTTATCCATGTATCGTACACTTTATAGCACGCTTGAGATTCAGCAAGGAAGCAGTCTGTCTCGCTCACGCTGGAAAAAGTAGAAGGATTCCCCAAGAAGGACTGGTGCTGGTCGCTTGTCTAGAATGTAATGATGGGGACGGCAGTCTCCCACTGGCTGGAACTGTAGCATCTGATGGTTTAAGGCCAGCCAGTCTATCTGAATACTGGGGTAGTAGGAACGCAGCCACTGGTAATACTTCAGGGTCGGAAACGGAATCTTCACCCGAATGATGTCCATCAAATATGGGTCGTCCATAACGCAGTGTTCTATAGGGATAGACACAGCTTTGGACATTTCTGTGATCTGTTCATTTTCGACGATGAGGTAATCAATGTATTTAGCAATCAGGCCTTTATGTCCTATATCACGTACCTCGTCTGGATTTACCTCAGGCGACAGGATCAGGAAGAAACGATCTGTGTCGCTGTCTTTAGCTTGAAGTTGATGTAGACCATGCTCAAACGGCATTGGAGGTTTCCTGAAAGTGCTGTTATTCACAACATCCACATATGCAGGGTTCCTATCATTGTCAACAGTCTTTGCAGGAGTTGATCTACGTCGCCGTTTAACCATATGTGTTACCATTTCATCGTGTCCTTGACTTTTAGATCGTATCGGCCGGAAATACTGAACTTGATCTTCTGAAGACTGAGAAGAACGAGAATAGTTAACAAAGTCTCCAAATCCTTGAACAGATGTGTCTGGGGTGGAAACATTAGTAGCCAAAGGTGGACCTTGTATGGAAGGACTTCCAACAAAGGATGATGCCTGCTGACTCTGTATCATGTTGTCGATGGCCTCCTGAGGGAGATTCAAATAGTTACCGGACTGAAAACTTGGAAGTCCGTTGTAATGTGGATCTTCTACTATATGACCAAATGAAACACCTTGTTCTACAGGGATAATAGCATCATTCTGATCCCGCCTGTCATACAAACCAGGGTTGTCGGCCTGTTTCTGTGGTCCAAGGTTCTGGTGGGGATGGTAAGGGGAGTTCTCTGGAATCATCTGGCCATATCTGTACCTATTGTTCAGCTGGTCCTCTGGTGCTTTGAAGGCACTGGATAAAGACAATGGATCCTTTTGATTGGCTTGGCTAACTAGTTGATGGTATGATTGTTGCCCCTGATCCCATACTTGGACTCCCAAGTTGCTGTGTTGTTGGGGTGGTGCATTGATCTGGCTCTGCTCCCACCCTGGGGCTCCAGGGTCACTGTGTCGTGGGGGTGGGACATTGATTCGGCCCTGCTCTATACTTGAAGCCTCTACCATTCCATGGAAACTGTGGCGCCTCTGACAGTCTGGACCCAACTGTTCCTGCCCTGTTCTGTTGTTCTGGTACAGAATCTGTGATGCTGTCTGCCTTGTAGCTGGTGTTGACAAAGAATCACTAGGAGGAGAAAGTCTTTCGGCTCCATTTTCACCAACCGCTTTTAATCCAGACTGTTGAGATTGAAATGTACAGCTATCTTGATCCCCAGGAGGAGGAGGATCCAAGCTAAGATTGATACCATTATCTTTGTTCGTAGTTTCTACACCAGAACTACCAAGCTTCTTTTGGTGGTGCTCCAAGTATTTAGACACACCAATGTTTTGGGAAGGACTTGGGTTACCATAACCCATGTTAGCATAGTTAGGGTAGTTATTCTGGTCCAGACAAATCGTCGGCTGTATTTCCGACAGATGAATGTCTCGGTCCAGTCTTGTGAGAAGCTCTGCAGCAAGCAAGGACTCCTGGTCACGACCTTCCAACAGACTAGAAAGAATGGTTCCTTTCTGTCCAGAGTTTTCATCTGTTGCCTCCCCGGTCTTTTGCAAATTGCCGTTTGTTGGTAAATGATCACAATTTGGAGGGTTATTCAAAGACTCCACTCTCTGACCACTGACAGCTACATTTTCTGTTGGTTGCTCATACATTGTCAATGATTGCCTATTATCTGCAGAAGTAGCATACAAATTTCTTGGCTCTTCAGCATCATTACAATGATATGCTGCTACATAGTTTTGTTTTCCTTTACCTGCAATTTTCCTTGAGTCCTGACTTGGAAAAGATTCAATCTGTGTGTTGCCTTTACTTGCGTCCTTTTCTTCCACATCCAATATGTCTTCGTCTTTCTCAAGGCAGTTCATTCTGGCCATCACCTCTGCTGCTCCTTGTTCAGCAAGCATCAGAACCTCATCAGCAGACCTGGTCACCTGCCTGGGAAGGAATTCCTGACCTGCAACCCATGGTCGTTCAACATTTGAACTCTGGTCTTCGTGGTGTACATCTGGTTCCTCTGCTAAAGCCTTATGAACCTCAGATTCCTTTCCAGGAAAATGGTGTGACTGTTCCTGTTCTGCTATTGGTGGTTTGTTGTTGGTAGCAAGCTCTATGGGTCCATGTGAGGTCGTGTCACCATTTCTGCCGATACCATCTCCATTTCTTGTTTCTGTGGTAGCAGGAATGCTGTTGGCATGTGTTCCCACTGGCTGGTCAACTGATACAGCCACAGAACTTCTGTCATTTTCACTGTTCGGGATTGGTTGTTTGTCACCATTTTGACGTAAAGAATTTCTCTGCTTACCTATCAAATAGAAAAAGTAAAACAGTTGTATCACAAAATGTATGTACCTTACTTATTTAGCTGAATGAAAGAATATCTTGTTCAGCCAACTAGACTTTCAATAATCTAACCCTAGATGCCTGTCTTACAACAAACACTGACTGATATTGTAGAGTATCTATTTGTGATAAAGTTTTTATTTGCACATGAAAGAGTTAAAGGCTTTGAAGCTATAGAAAAATTGGCTTCCTATATACAATGTTTAGCACATATTTTGTATACATTGTAATGCTTTTATGATATTACGTAATTCTTAAGTACAGCACTCTCACTATGAAATGCTGAATTGATCCCCACACAAGTTTTTGTATTGTGTACGATCAGGCCTGGTTTCGAACCTGGGACCATCAAACTCTAGACGAATGCTCTACCAATTGAGCTTTTCTTGCCAATGATCGACCCAGTCCAGTTCCGCTACATTCCTCCCTCCTTCAACAAGGTCTTCGACCCCTAAGATACACAAGACTCTGTACCACCTGGGTATATTTCGTTGGGCGCCAAAATTGTTAAAGGAGAAAGAGAAATGCTTGGCCAAACCAGGGCTAGAACCCAGGACCCTCCAAACTCTAGATGACCCAGTCCAGATCCGCTCAGTATCAAAAATAAAGAAAGGGTCATAACTCTGAATGAAAGAGAGTCATAAGCCCTGATTTGAGGAGGCAATACTCTACCTTCTCAAGATACATCAGTTTGGGGAATGTAGGTGAAACAGCATGGATGTATCAAGTCCAGACAACATGAACAAAGGGCCATAACTCTTATGCAATCAGATATAAACAGCTCAGTTGTGCAATTACTGGATATTAGAGAATACCCAACAAAATGTAAGACAGATTTTTGCATGTTCTTAAACTTTTAAATACCTGAATGTAAACTTAAAAAAAGATAATGACTCACCAAGCTGTGGGGTACCCCTCGGGCTCTCCAGGTTTGTAGTTCTTCTCGCTCTCTTTGGTGTGTGTATGGGGCTTTGGATGCCTTCAGATTCAGCAGTCGATTCATCAGAAACAAGTCCTCCACTGTCCTGTATACTTATAGCTACAACACAATTCAAACTCTTTACACATTTTCAGAGAGATATTGAAAATTCAATACTGTAAATTTAATCTGTTGTGTCTCTTGACTAGTACATAATTCACTTCTATTTTTTCCATGAGGTCTCGCAACTTCAGGTTAGAGATTGAGAAAAGATGTATACCTGCTGTAACCAACTACATGTTGTAAAAAACAGCTAACCAAAATAAATCTGCTGTGCTCTTTACATAATTTGGGATCTTTATATTTTCTCTCTCATTCCTAACAAATGTTAAGTTTCTTAGCATCTTGCTTTGACAATACCTAAATTGGCCTTAGTGTTGAACATATTCACATATAAGTGAGGAAGGCAATGATAAAAGTTAAGCATTTTGGTTAAACCATTGTAAAACATTGTATAATGTAACCCTGTGGAATACTGTGCTGGGTGCCTTTGACATGGTATTTTAGTGAGGTGGCAGGGAACTTTAAATTAAATTAAGTCAGCACCACTCCAGGTTTACTATTATAAGGAGGCAAATACACCAACATACCACTCTAACACACATTCATGTACAGGCATACAATTGTACATTACATACACAAACTATACTGCACCTTTGTGTTCCCACATGGTAGGTGTATACATCTTTATTTATGCTGTGCTCATGAAATAGATTATGAAATAGATAGAAATAGATCTATATAGATAGGTTACCTGGAGACCTCTTTGGACTAGTGAACCGCTGTTTCCTCTTCCTACCCCTCCTAGGTGTTAACTTTGGGCTCACCTTACTTTTCCCTACAACATACAGTCATTTCATGTACAAATTTTAACACATGACTTTTAGGGTAATTTATACAATTATTTTATTTTATTTTTTAAGAACTGCAACACAACATCACAGGTGCAGCTGTGAAATCACTTAGAAAACATTATTCTTCAGGACTATGGTAACAGACACAGATTTTGCTTAAACAATTATGTTAAACTCATAACAATAATCTGATAAATTTCACAAAGAAAAAACAAAAAGCAGAGAGACCTAGAACTGGTCAAAGCGTTTCACAAAATCATACAAAAAACAATTTGTTGTTACACTTACAAACTAAAATATAAACAATCACAATATATCCTAGGTGAAGTACTTCCATTAGGAGTTGAACCAGGGACTTCAAATTACTAAGTCCACTTCTCTATGGGTTGAGCTAAAGAGTAATTCCCAGTGCCCTATGGGTTAACAAGCAACTAGAAGATTCATGAATCTCTGTGACAATAGGATGGCAGGGAACCCATCATAAATATTGTGGGGATACATCCCTTAATTTAAGTAAAATATGGGCGTGTGGATAGGTTGCCATGTGAAATTAGTTCAGTGTTTATTGGAACGGGACAATCACTGAACCTGTGCTTTGCATCTGTACAAAGTCAAGAACAATTATGATTTTAAAGTCTACACCCATCTTAAAGTGTGCAGAGCAGGTTCTTCATAGAATTTTGTCTGTTTCTAGTGTTCACAATATTGTAAGTCTGTTTCTAGTGTTCACAATATTGTAAGTCTGTTTCTAGTGTTAACAACATTTTAAGTCTGTTTCTACTGTTCACAATAATGTAAGTCTGTTTCTGTATTTATAACTATTCCCTAGTCTGTAAGCTATGACTAAAATTACCACCTTCATCTTTCCCTGTACCTTTTTGTTTTTGGTTGCCATTTTCTCTGCAGTTGTCTTCCATTTGTTTAGCTGTGTAGTACTTGCTTTCCTAAGAAACAAATTCAGAAGAAACAGGACTTTTAAATATCAAAGAGTTCAGGTAAAAGAAGAAGAGGTAAAATGGGTAAATGGGTAGATTAGGGACAAATTGTATCTAATTCTAAAAGGACATATGAAACACTTAACTGTCATTTAAGAAAAAACATCTGAAATTCCATCCTTTTTGCCATTTTAACTTTAAAGTGTTCAGTTGAGATGCATACTATTGGACTATATTGAAAGAGGCAGTGAAACAGAAACCAATTATCGGGATCTCTTTCACCTTTGAATGGTGTGAAACTTACAACTTACTGGCAAGGTGTCACACCAATGTGACGTCACTTCACATTAAAAGGAGTTGGGGCTATTGAGATCAAATCGATATGAAGCCAGTGTGAAAACGGACATAGCTTCACATCAATCAAACGCTACAAGCCTAATGAATATTGCTAGGTTTGAAGTCGAAGCTATGCTAAAATACTCCATTGATTTTGACTTGTAAGTTGTTTATCATGATCCACAGGCACAGACTGGCACAGTGAAACTGTCACGCTGCTTGGGATCTAAATATCAAAAATGTAATATATATCAGATATTTGGTAAAAAGAACATACATTAAAGTGATATTTAGGAAACCAATATCGTACCATACATACTTATGTTAAATTCAAAACCACAGTTCTTGCATCAACAAATCCCTTTTGCTGTTTACACTTGGCGTCTGCTACAAAACGACATGCATCATGGGATAGATAAAAATGGAAACTGGAGTTATGCCCCTTTTACCAAAGTTCAGTTGGCGGCAAAATCTGCAATAAGTGACTATGTACAGGGCTGCGCGATTTTTCCCCATTTTCTTTTAATATTCGTACGACCGTTTATTACGCTATTGGATTAAACGTGTACGTTCTAAAAGAAAAATGTTGTTTTTTATCAGACAATATTGATGATAAAAAACTCATCATCACCAGGGGCGGGTCCAGGTGGGGGCGTAATGGGCGTACGCCCCCCCCCNGTATCATGTTCATTAATTAAACACATAAACACCCTGACACTATAAAATGTACATGCTCCAAGTCAGGAACCGTTACATCAGTGCATTTCACAATTATTTTATGTTTTTTTTGCAAAAAAAAGGTTCAAAATATTTTTCGCCTCGATCCGCTGGGCGAAAGATTTTATTCTATGCCCCCTCTTTCAAATATCCAAGAAACGCCCCTGATCACACAAGTTGCCTACTTAAAAAGTTCAGTCAACAGAATAGTGATGCAAACTCACATTTAGAGATAAATATTAAGCAAAATACCTATTCCCTTTGTTGCATTGATGTTACATTGGCTTGGAGAAAATTCAATGAAAACAAGTAAAAAAAAGTATTGAAAAATACTGAATTACGGGAAAATCGCGAGCTATTCGGCGGCATTTGCAGCTTTGTAAGTACTCCGTCAGGCCATTGGAAAACTATTTGGTGAGGCTTTTACTTACATAATCCGTTATCGTTTTATCATATGCAACATCAATGGTTGAAGAGAAGATTTTTAAGACGAATAATTATAAGGGAGGCGATCTATTTCCACGTAATCTTGAAAACTTAATTATTCTGTTTAGAGAGGGTGTGGTTAAGACAATTCAAGTTCAAGTAAGGATTTTTTTCATGGATGTTTTAATTGATGTTCATGTTTACATGGTGTTGCTCGAATAGGATGTTGTTCAAAGATGCTGCTGAACGCGTAGTTGTTGACAAAACACTGTTATTTAGGAGGGCTGTTCTCAAAGGTGGACCGAGTTGTTAAATGGGATGGTTGAGGTAGTGCTGTTTAGGAAGACTGTTAATTTGTTCAGGGAATGTCCGCTTTTTCAAGATGACATTTGTTCAGGGAGGGATGTTTTCGTGGAGGCGGGGCTGGTCTAGGCTTTGTTAATGGTAGAAACCAAAAATATCGGTTAGTGTATTACAGACTCTTTTGTTTGCTTTTCTCCGTTAATTTCTTTCAATGTGTAGGTAAATAAACACAATATTGATATCCAAACAATCAAGATGTGTCAAGCTATTCCATTTCTGTTTAACGAGAGAATGATTCCATACTGAATAAAACGCGTGAAAGTGATCGGATTAAGGGGGCGTATCATATACGATTCTCGCGTCTAATCCTGCTTAGAGGATTTCGCGCCCCTACAGGGATGTGTCTATTGTTCGTTTCAATATACTCTTTAGCCTTTCACTTGAAGTGGAGTGGCTCGTTCCCCCTGGACAATACAGACATAGAGGATAGAGTTAACTGAGGAAATGCCTGGGTATTAGAGGCTAATTACGACAATGTAACAGATAGTCCACGAGTATCTCTCTCCGAGTAATCCACGACTCAATCGTACAGATCTTCTCGACCAGAAGGACGCTTTTCATTATTTTTGAAATCGGAGTTGGAACTTTTAAATAGGCGGAAAAACAGCGAACTCTTTTTAAATGGGATGTTACAGAAAATGAAGCCATGTCGTTTATACTGTGAACGTTAATATCAAACGTCTTGTATTTGAAAGATTGTTTAAAAGACTTTTTTTAAAAGAATTTCAATTTCTTGTCACTTTTTTTTAGAGATGTGAAAAATAGATGACCAAACGTTATTCCGCTAATTACAAAACGTTTCTTGGATGTGTGATTAAAATTAAATATAACTGTAACATAATTTATACCGGACTATATCTTTTGTAAATTCGTGTTTTTAAAATTAATTGAAAATGAGTGAAAAGGACTACAGCGACGCTGAAGATTTAACATACAAACCGGATCCAGAGGCCATTAGGATGTTGGGACAAGTTCCCAAGAAAACAGATTCTGACGATGAAGAAATAGATGTAGTGGACGACAACGACAACGAATCATCAGATAGAGGTAAATTAACGATGTGTTGGGGGAAACAACGATATTTTTCTGGCCCTTCCTTCCTTTCATTGCGGTCTAGACGATGAAAGTCGCACATTCTTGAAATATTTTTGTTCGTCATGAGCACACATTATTTATTATTTTCTAAACAAAGGTTTTCTATGATATGATATGAAGGAACCAATTTCAAGATATGATTATTCATGTTCAACTTTTCAAATCATGATATATTTCTGTTTAGTAATTTATTGGCAATGCCTTAAATAAAATGAAAGCCGAAAAACAAAAGAGGTAGTAATATTACTAATATCTTTATTTCTTGCAACATACATTCACACCATTTTTGCAATATGGTAGTGGTACGTGTACGTGTACTCATTAACATGGTTGTATTGTAAGATAATAATTTTAACGTTGGTTGTTAACAAGTTTCTAACTGAATTGGGTCGTCTTTATCAAAATTATGACAATGACACGCAATTTTAGCGTAAAATATGCTGAAAGCATTAAAAAATGATATGCATGCCAAACTAATTTGTATTGAAATAATATACTGATGTATTTCAATTATCATTTACATTAACATAATGTTAGACAAATGAAAATTCCATTTTAACAATAATATACATGTAGTACTTGTTCAACTTTTGCTTACATGTACATAATTATTTACATTGAAAACAGTGTAAAACAACTTCATTTCTTTCTTTTACTTTCTTTCTATCTTATTTTTCCATTTTTATTCCTTATTGTTATTCATGTTATCCTTTATGTAAATGATGTCGATGCTATTTTGAACGTAAGACCAGACACATGTAAAGCCAATATATACGTCTCTGGTAAGACAAAATTGTTATCAAAGCGAAAGTAGGATAAATTAGTTTCGTTTAAACATGTTTTATTTTGTTATATGTTTATCATATATAAACATTGTAATCTTTAGAACATTCCTATAGAAAAAATAAAATGCAATTTTCAATAGAATATTGTCCTGTTTTGATTTTTAATTTTGAAATAAGTATGTCGCGACATTTCTATGTGAATATAAAAAATATATAAAAATATATAAGTAAAACCTTTGATATGAAATAATAATAATTTACATGATTACGATTATTTACATTGCGACATGCAACATTTGTACAGTTGTTCTTTGCTTTTGATGTTTTAGAATTTCTGGCCTTCTTCAAATGATATAATTAATTTTATATTTGTATTTGTGTATTTTTTGTATTTTGTATTTTGTGTAATTTTGTTTTTAAATGTTTAAAGTCAAAATGTGTTTAAGTGCAAAAAGATGGTGGTTATTATCACACAATTACACACTGGTACTACATGTTATATCATTTATATCGATCATACATAGCTAAAAAGGATCTTTTAACTAGGTTACCTCCCCTTGGAAGTTTTGAGACTAGCATAACGGTTAACCATCAGTTTCGCAAATATCACATTATTTCACATTATACTTTATTGATAATCAAACAAATTATACCATGTCAGTCATTTTTTTCTAGTTGCCATAACGATGAAAAATTGATAAAATATAAAATCCATTTTCTTATTTTGAACACCATTTTCTTGTTCAGGATATGATAATGAAGTTGATTGTGACGGCGACGCAGATGACGATCTATCCGCCTCCTTGAAGAAGCAGAGACGGAACCGAACAACATTTACCGCGGAGCAGCTCCGAGAACTAGAGGCGGTATTCACGCACACACACTACCCTGATTGTACGCTCCGAGAACAGATTGCCGAGAAAGTAGAACTCACAGAGGCAAGAGTACAGGTACTTAATTATTCATTATCTGTGCCCCCTAAAAAGTCGTGCCTCTTTCATTAAGAAAAGTCCTCTCCCCTAAAAAAATCATGCCGCGACATGCCGTTTTTTTAAAAACACACCATAAACTTTTATGGAAAAGGTTTTATCGTTCTAAAGTTGAAGCATTTAAAAGCATTGTAGACTGAATTGACGTATTTGACTACGCAGTGTGATTTCGACCGTTTGATGAGTTATTGCAGTGGCATATATATGACAGACTGAATTCTGCGGCAAGGTAAAACCCCGAACCCTTGGATTCGAATGTATACCCGTCTTATACATATATCACACAGAGAAACCATGTGCCTCTTGTAAGTTAGTTTGATTGAGACTTTGAAGAGTACTAACATTACAACGAGAAATGCCTTAATATTTAAACGATAAAAAAACTCTAGTTGTTAAATTAAAGTAGTTACACTTTAAAACCTAATATTGATTACTGTTTTACTCATAGAATAAGAAATGTTAAGTCTAAAATTTGTCAACCTCAAATTAGCTGGATAGGTTGTGTCCCTAGGGGCCAGATTAGCGGTGCCTGTTTTGGACAAAAAGGGTAAGATAAGCGGCCCCTGATATGAGATACGGACACACAGTGGCGCTGCGGGACGCCAGTTACCGCCACTAACATGCTTGGTAATTTTACAAATTGGAACAGTGATGGAAACGCTTTCGACACAGTAATAGGACAAAGCAATTTTAACTAATCCTCTTTTGGGTTCGCAGGGATGAATTGTCGAGAAGAATATCTCTATTGTAGAATTAAAATGAAAATTGATCAAAGTATTAGACATTCCCACTAATGAGGTAAAATACTCTCGTTTGGAAAACACCGTAAACAAATTGACAATGATCCCAAACAGATACACCACACGTATTCCACTCGTGGTTTACGGGGGAGGGAGTGAAGGGGAAATCTGGCACAACATTCATAAAAAGTCGCTTTATTGATATTACCACCGCACCTATTATTTCTCTCGTTATCGTTTAAGATAAATGATAAATGTTGGTATCCTGATTTTGAATATTTACTTATTTTTTTTCTTATTTGAAAATGATTAAATACAAAAGACTATGAATAACCCAACTGGAGCCCCAATTAGATAATTATCAGTTCTACCATCAATTTAACGTTATCATGTGTACTTGTATTAATGAAGTGGAAACCCATTACAATAGTCGGAACGGCTGAATATCCGGATCAAAGCCGTGTCGGCGAAGAGAACATGTTTTACTTGTCGTTGCTTCAACTGATATCACGAGAAAATATTCTTCAATGGAATTTAACTTCATTTTTTAATTGTCATTTCTAATGTCGTGATTATCAAAGTTTGCATTAATATCGACATAAGTAAAAAAAAACAAAAAAACACCACGTCACTTCATTATCAATTTTGCATATATGTAACGAAAACACAAGTCAACAAAATTAAAACAAAAAACAAACAAAAAGTCACTTCATCAACATTTCAAATAGTCTTATTAAATTATTTGATGTTAATTCTTTTTCCGTTAAAAAAGTAATTCGGAACTGAAATATACAAATCAATTTCAGATTATCAGTTGTAAGTATTGTGTAAATGAAACTACCGTTTTAGAGACAAAAAAGTTCAATCTGCCATGTGAATATTGTGAACACGCCAAACGAAAGTCTAGACAAATTTGCCACATCACGGGGGATAGATAATTTAATGCAATAAAATCAACATTATCAATAAATTTAATGGGAATGTTTAGCATGTCGAACTTACAGTTATTATAGTACTATTTAAAAAAACACACGATAATAACACAAGTTAAATTGACCACTCGTCTTTGTGCGTATGGTGCGCGCAAATTACAAAGTAACAGCGTTACGCTATCCCGATTATACTGCGTCCCCGATTGGTACAACAGGCCTAGGTAAACGGTAACTTTTAAAACATTAAATGTAATATACAAGTAAACACTGATCATAAGTAATCTATAGAAAGTGTCTGGCCCCTGTGCGCCACAAGGCTCTTATCAGATAGAACAACTCGCTCATGTATTACTTTATAATAAATAACTTGCTAATGTGTTATCAAATATAAATAATTTTTTATTTGTCAAGAAAATCGGATTTGAAATTAGTTTTATTATGGCGTTTGGAATTACTGCCAAAACAGTACTATATCCTATTAGCATGGTTTGACATACGGAAACAGTATAAACCTAACGTTCTAACAAATTAAGTCATATTAATCTGTTAAAATACGTGGTATACATACATATGTGACGTAATGTCTAATTCACTGTTCCTAAGAACTTTCGCGCTTCATCCAAGGGGTATTTATAACCTTCATAAACGTTCCGCAAATTTTTATAAGCCAATCTGTGATAAAATCTTTCAATTTTGAATTAAATATTTTAAAAGTATGAATTATAACACTTTAAATCAAAAACGAGATATAATTCCATATATACCTTTATTTGCATTAGTTTTACAAGCCTATGGAAAATGTATAATATATGTATGACATGTATATGCGTACGAAATCTACATAATATCTGGGTTTTTTCTGATATTAATTAAATCCCACCCCTCTCCTATTTTTAATCAAGAATCAATAAATCATTATTCAATTATTATCATTATTATTTCGTGTTGTGAAATTATGAGACAGAAGTTTCATAGACTATTTATGATAATTTCTAAGTTTGAAAAAAAAAATGTGTTGAAAACCATAATCACTAAAAACATGTTCAACGGTAGAATGGCGATAAATATATTCTGAACTTGTTATCCTTTCGCATGCGCAGATAAACTTCTTCATTTTACGTTAATTTCTCTACGGGTCTGTCAATATCTGCGTCATAAATACATTTCCACTGTCATTCCAGGCCATAGTTTACTTAAGTACCTACTAACAGTTCCCATTGTGTTAATTACGTAAGTTTTATCCGGAACACCAGCAGTTCGCTGTTAAAAAGAAGAGCAACCCAGTCTGTTACAATAAGACAAATATTTGTTTATCGTTAAGAATTGAGGTTAAATACAGATTACACATTAGAAATAATTATATCATTTAATACATAACCAAACAGATATATTAGGCGACCCATCAAGATACACTATAGATTCCGTGTCATTCTGACAACATGTTGTAATCCGATGTCCGCATGTCCCGCTTCGGGCCTTAAGATTTATTTGATCAGGGAATTATATACATAGAACATATTAGCCTTCGAGAGATGTATTCTATCACCAATTGAAAGAAAAGATTAAAAATAATGGCGAGAAATTGATATTTCTTGAATAAAACCGCGGTGTTAATTCCGACCGAATCTATTTCACAATCGGAATTAGTTCTCGCCCTTGCTACCCCATTGTTCTCCCATCCAGGTACCGTTATGGAGTGATAATGTTCTCTGATATTCTCCACACGTCGTTCGTTTTATAAGGTTTGCTTATTTAAACGACAATTTGATAAAGATGAGATTATTCAGGGTTGTTTAAAAAACAACTTCTGAAAGTGTACCCTGCTGGTGCCACGTGCAGACTTTCTGACGTAAATAGGGCGTTTAAGACTAATCATCTGAGTGTCATGGAATTAATCTGTTGTTAAAAATCTCCCAATTAGTGACAGATTTGTAGAAATAATCTAGTATCATAAAAAAAATCACAAAATGAGATAGCATAAACACTTAGATTAGACCAGTAATCTTGCTCTTGTAATACCTGTTTCAAAATCTTCCAATTATTTAAAGGATTTTGATAAACTCTCTTCAAATAAATCCTGTCATTTTGTTGGAAGAAAATTGAGATTTAAGAGATTTAAGCAAAAAATTTAATCCAGATGAAATATTGGTTTTGTTAAAGTTGTCCTGTTTGAAAAGGAGGGGCGTATTTTTTTACAAGACGCATTATCGAAGAGCACGTCTTTTGTTTGTACTTGAGAGGAAATACAAGGATTAAAAATTAAAACTGAAGTTATAAATACGGCGATTAGGATAAGGGCATTAAAGGATTTTATTAAATCGAAGGAAAATCTTTTCTCTATTTCAAACTCGTGCTTTCAATTAAAGTTTAAATGCTTAAATTCTGAAAGTAATTTTAACAATGAAATAATTATAACTTTATAAATTAAGGATAATTAAATAAAATTATAATCTAAATTCGCATATTTAAATTTTAATTCGAAACCAACATGTTTTTGCTTGATGTAATTTGATTTAGATTAGTATCTTGGCAAAGTTACAAATATTTATTATATTTTATTCAACAGTGTTTATTTGCATTAACTATGAAACTCTTGACATTAAATGTATATGTTACTCGTTTATGTATGAAATTTCATTATAAATGTTTATACAAACTATGACTAATGCTAATTAATTTTGCGGAAAGGCTTTTTTTTTTTAATCAAAAACAAGTTTAGAAATTAAATTCACCTTAAAAGCTACTATTTGAAGCAAAACTCTTGCATATTTGTTATTACTGAAGACACCATTACATTTTCTAGTTACTAAATTTTTAAAGCATAAAACATGAAAAATGTAATGCATTAAAAAAGGGCGGGAATAAAAAGCGTAATAATTAACGCCATATTCTAATGACGTCACCCTTAACAACAACGGTAGCGCTGCGCGTCATTTTGAACGGGATACTTAACTCGACGTTTTCTGCTTTTTATGGTATAATTGCTTATAAAAATGTTATTAATTGTATATTTATGTAAATACTTAAGTGTGTGAACCAAACGTTTACCATAACAACCACTTATTTTATCGTCGCTCCATTTGAATCTGAACAAAAAATCGTTGCCTTTGAATGCAGCGAATAGAAGATACCATTATGATTGGTCAATACCAAAATGTGTCACAGTGTGAAAGATATCAGTTTTATCAAGTCGAAAGAATCCGATATTTCATTGGCAAAAATGTAATAAAACATCATATTCACCTTCGCAAAAGTCCATAATTGTATGATACCCTACACCAAAGCATCTTTTCATAAAGAGGAGGGCCATCATAGTTATCTCAAGAGTTATCCGTTTTCAACAATGATCAACAGAAATTAATCGCAACATCTCGACAAATCCCGTCAACGCTCGGTTTGATTCGTAGCCCTGACGGAATAGGCCTTAATGTCATTACAATGCGAAGAAACCCGAGGAAACAATTATGGAACCTTGGTAAATTGGTGCGTATTTCCTAATTTTATAACGGGATTATTTAACATCATTATTTTCTTTTTGTATGGTTCACAGGTTTGGTTCCAGAACCGGAGAGCGAAATGGAGAAAACAAGAAAAGAATATAGTACGCATGTTTGATGTTTGGAGAAATCGCATTGAACCATACCACGTGGCACCACCCGCGTTCTCTCCAGTTGGTTATAGTCCTTCAGCATTCACTTCCGTCCGCAGCAGCATGTTTCCATGGTTACCAAGACTTCCTCTAAGTTTCCCACCAGTCCTTCCACTTCCGGCTTTTCTACCGGAAGCCACGGCAGCATTTACAGGTTTGTACTCTTAGTTGGAGATATACATATGCATATTTTAACTCGTTTGTTCCTGATGTCCTTGCTCACTTACATTTGTCTCGAATCTAAAATGTCTGTCTCTGAATTAATATAATTATTTTTTCTTGTTACTTTTCTTTCTATTTTATAGTTTGCATTTGTATAAAAAAATCAATTTGTGTTTTATCAAACAGTCTTAGAATTAGTTTCCGTCTTACGTTCTGTTCCTCTAAGATTCTTAAAACAGGTTTGTGATACGTTTGCTTCTTAATTACAGGTGAAATGCCCCAACTTTCGTCAGTCAAACAAAACCTGGACATATCACAGCGCAAACATTTTGAATCCTACGCGCGGGACTACTTACATAGATTCACAACAGAAAACAGGGACCGATACGCCAGGGAACAGCTGCACAGACGATCACCGCACGTGCATTCGACAACGTCATCACCTCCGACAAGATTATGAACAATTTGATTTTCTCTTTGAATTTAAATATAAATGAACTATGCAAATCATTTTCAAATCAATACATTTTCATATTCGCGTTTGTTTTAGAGACAACTGGTATAAATTTGTGCACAGCACAATTTTAACCAATTCTGAGTCTTGTAAGTTAGGAGTTGATATCTAAATGTCAAGTGACATGATATCAACAGAATCAAAATGTAGATCAACTTTATATAGTTATTCATAATATATATATACTGTATAGTTAAACTGCTTTATAAAATCAGATCTGTCCTTTTTTGCCGAATATCTGAGTATAGTTGTTGCGAGAAATAGTAAAATTATCTTCATTTCTCAATAAGACATTATAAAAAATGATTTAGTTATCTTATTTAAGAAAGCCAAGACGAAATAAAGGGAAATTACTCACACATACTCATATCACAGACATTTGACACTTGAGTTTAGCTATTTAACAATAACACTAGTTAAAATAAGACCGGTCCGAAACCTGATCGGCCTGTTTACACTATATCAGAGACGTATAATTATACGTCTCTGACTATATCAACCAGGTTCCGGACCGAATATTTTTTAATAACTTTCATTTTTTTCCCCTTATGGCTAAAATCAAGTACATGTACCTGTGCTCATATATACTTTGATACATAAATTCACGTGACCCACTACAGCAAACTATCACTCCAGCATCATCAACTTAACATTTATTTTGATCGCATTCTTCATACCGAAGTGCGATTGCCTTGTCTTTGAATTAGGTTAAGCAAACAAATACCATAACAAGACAAACCTTGACGACACGAGGTGTTTAATGCAAACAGGGCAAATGTTGTGTGAAAATGTGTTCACGTGCGTGGTACATGTCATCTAGCTTAAAATAGACATATCAATTTGATGTGTTTTATTGTAGTGTCTTAAGCCTGGATTATCGGAAGCTTGTTAATCATTGAAGCGCTAAAATGGGATCTCGTTATTACGGACATTTTCAAACAAAATTCTCTGTTTTTCTGTCAACCGGAGTGCGGGTTACAGGGGTTAAATAATGTCAAATCGAGATAACAGAGGTAAATCAGAATCTGGATTAACGGGACTTTTTTTTTTTTTTTTTTTTTTTTTTATCAAAATAGCGATTTTACATTAGAATCTCAATAACCCAGGTTGTTTTCTTCAGAATCTGGATTTCCATATATCGATTTTGACTTCAAATGAAAACGTTTTGTCATTACCAAGTCTTAGTCAGTTTTGAATGATTGAAATGTGTATCGTTTAATGACTGAATAACGTGTGTTATTCTCAATCAGGAACCTACGGCACTTTCCGTAGATTTTCTTGTTTACGGAAAGTGCCGACGGTTCCCGATTGGCGTTTCTTTCACAATAATGTGTTTTCGATGTACTATGCAAGTATTATATTATGTGACTTTGAAATCGTATTTGTTTGACTTCTTTGTAAAATAAAACATATGTAAATACGATTTAATTGACCATTTTGGGTTTCTTTTTCTTTTTTTCTACCGAGTAGTTCGGTTCACAGGGTCCTGATTATTTGTTACAGCTATATTTGGACCTAAACTAAGGTGTTCAAAATAATTTTATATGTTTTAGGGGTTTAACTCAACTTTCGGTAAAAAATGACACCCCCAATGATCATTTATATCATTATGTCATTTTAACCGAAAGTTGATCTTAACCCCTAAAACATGTAAAACTACTCTGAACACCTTAATTTAGGTCCATATATATAGATGTAACACACTCTCAAGTCCCTGTGGTTCGGTTGACCGGCAGACGAACATTTTGATATGATTTTGACAGTTTGAAGTCCTTTATTACGGCCTTTCAGTAGACGAGAAAATATAGGAAAATGATTACATAAGGGACAAAGTATGTAGAGAAAAGGTGAACGTACAGGCCATCGGATATAACGCCACGTCCACAGGGGCCTGGCAGTAAAAACAAATAGTCTCCTGATGTTAACATGTACATTGTAAGTTTTATCATATATACATATGTTTCAGGAGTTAAAGTAGGACTCTTAAGATCAGGCTTAGATAATAAACTACATGAATATTTCATAATATCCAGATAAAAGACGTTTTTATTTATTTTATTGATCACTCGGTTCTATAGAACATAGGGGCCAGATACGAGCTACTATTCATTATTATACTATTTTTAAATGTTCATTAGCTTTATTCGAGCGATGACGAGTATGTGCCCGTTCCCTGTGCTCTGGATACCTGTGATGAATAGTTGAGAGATTACATGCCATGGGAATAAAAACAACCTTTCATAACGATATTAGGATAGAAACTTCGAACAAAAAAAAAACAGCTTCAAAATGACTTAGACGACCATGATTTTATTGAGTATTCTGAATATGTTTTGATTATGTCCTTAAGACAAATAGAGTTATCCCACTTACAAGCTGTGAGCATCTGGATTTGGAGATCACCATTCATAGTGTCCTATTAACAGTTAATGTCATTTAAGGACGCATCTTCATGTGTGCGTTACAATTGCAATTTACGACATTTTTTATTGAGTGTCAGCTGGCAAATATCTTTGTAGAATGATCACTTTTGAAATGACGTCACACTTTCACACGCTGCTTTGCTTAATGATGAATACTTAGAAAAAGTATAAACAGTGCGTTGATCAGCTTAGACAAATTATTGGGTAGCCTGCCAGCACAATCAGGAACCGTCGGCACTTTCCGTAAACGAGAAAATACTCGTTTACGGAAAGTGCCGACGGTTCCCGATTGCTTCCAGCACAACGTCGTTATCCAAAACGCTGAACGTTCACACCCCGGATACCCCGATACGTATACGACACGGAGAAACCCGGGTGGTACGGAACAAAGTAAGCTGAAAATGTCATGACATCGTGTAGCAGGAACTTATTTTTGTCTGCAGGGAGAATATCATCCCGGCCTGCAAACACGATCGTTCTGACACAGCCAAAATATCTGAACTGTAACAAATGGGTTCCTTGTACATATAATTCGTCGTTTCCTAAATACTTTTTCGCTCCGGATTCGACAGGGTTTTATATACGTGATAGGGAGCATATTTACTTCCGGTATACATAAAATATCTGAGAGTATGATTTGTCTAACAGAAGGATAACGTGTAGTCAGCAAAAATATCTCTTTCCTGAAGGATATGAAATTTCAGTCGTTTTCGTCCAGTGTTTTACTTCGACGAAGTTGTAATGCTACTGATTTACTTGTACACCGGAAGTATACTTCCCCCTTATTACGATTCCCTTATTACACCACGTGACCGCCAAATCATGTGACTTTTATTCCAGAAACTTGTGACTCGGAAACGACGTCTTGTTACCAAAGTGTTGTTAAAATGTGCAATGTGCGAAAATGGCTTATACATGTAGGAATCCCTGGTATACAATGGGTGTGTGGATTGCTCTTCGTCTGGTTCCTCCCCCTTGACCAGCCTGGTATGGTTGTACCTATCCAGTATAGCTCTCAGGATCATAGAATCACGCAAGCCCCCCCGACCACAACAAGGTGACAATCCGGCAGGGGAAGGAGATAGGGAATTTGCTCCGATGTAACAGGAACAACAACACCGGTGTTCTGATGCACTCGTCACATTTCGGCAGTCCGTACCCGACATCAAACTGATGAAGAGTACCGGAATCAGCCGAGGTTAGCTAAATTATTCTGATGGTGTTGAACTTATTTCAATAGGTGATAGATTTGGATATGTTATGAGGTTTCATAGGGCATACAGATATTTAATACCCGACGCTATCATAGAAGCCAAATATTTTTTTTTTATTTCAAATTGTAATTTTTTAGACTCTTCGGAATTCAATTAAATATATACATAATAATCATGGATATATTTTAATGGATCATTCTGAGGTATTTAACAAATGATATTTTGTAAGGAAACAATTGGGGTCCTATCATGACGTCGCGTACTTAATTGTATTACCGAAAGTGGGGCCATGCAAAGGTTGCAAGTTTTGTGGTAATCGGGAATCTTCGGCACTTTCCGTAAACGAAAAATTATTTCTCGCTTACTGTATTGTCGACTAATGCCAACGGTTCCCGATTAGAACTGTGGTTTATAATCTAGAAGTAATAGTGAAATGACAAAGGGGGCCTAGTTCCGGAAAGAAAGCGCTAGGGTACAGGTAGAGGGGAATATTTTAGGGGCCTCTTACGCCACGCCATGGTTTCGTTGGACCTATTCTTTTCCCCCAAGCCCACAGGGGTTAAATTAAAATGGTATATCTAACTACGGTCGTCTTCTAGCATCTCGCAAGAGGGAATTAGCATTAAGCTCAATTGGAAGAGAGGCGGGCTCCAGTAGTTATGTGCGTATAAATGTATTCTAATGTCAACTCAAATACAACTATTTCAAAAAGAAGAAAAAACGTTTTCAATCTGTAATATTTTAACAGACCTAAGTCGGTGTATTAAGGATCCCCGTACCACTACCAAAAACAGTAACTACGCATTGGAAACTGTTTTTCCGGCATGATTATTTCTTTGATGAATTATTTTAAAAAAGAAAGCCATACCTTGCAGAACTTTAATAAGAAACAATAAAGATAAAGTAAATGAAATTTAATCAATAGCAATGTTCTGAATGAAAATAGGATGGGCCAGGATTCGAACCCTGGACTTCAGGTTGTTGTACTATCGCTCTAACCGACTGAGCTACTTGATCAGCGTAATGGTATCCAAAACGAAATTAAGGGGAGGTTACTGTATACACTTGAAAACCCACAATACAGTGGGACAGGGATCCTTAAGAAAGATAAAATAACTCGATGTCTAAAAACGTACATCCTGTCAATACACGTAGATACTGGTAACTTGACCTTGAATGGTTTAATTTGTTCTCACCTTGCATTTATAAATTTGACCTCCTGCTACAAACATATATACGTTGACATGAATGAAAATAAAAATTGAGGGCAAAAACTTAAAATCTTGGTTACAGAACTTTGATCTGGTGCAACAATATATCCATTTTGTGACATTTTTGTCCTTGGGCAATTCAGTTTAGAATCGGCAAATATCTGTACATTTATTCTATACTGTTTAAATAACACATTAAAAAGTATAATTTTGAAAAAAAAAGGTTGTGTCTGTATCGGTGATAATGAAAGATGCTGAATTGTTAAAACATGTCGTCTGGTCTCTTATCCTCCCCTCTACTCAAATCGAGGTTGGTAAACTCCTCAGCCTGTACTTCTGAAAAAGAAAAAGTGAATTATTGAAAAATGCTACATTTGAATTTTTTATTTTATTCCAGGCTTTCTCCCTTGATATCCAGACCAAACACAATCGGGAACCGTCAGTACACTACGTAAACAAGTATTTTCTCGATTACGGAAAGTGCCGACGATTCCCGATTGGACCAAACATTGAAATAATTAAACAAGAACGAGCACAACAAAACCTTTATAATAACTCTTTATCTGAATCCTCTCCGCCGAAACCAAGCAAGTGTGGTCGGACTATAGATCGTATAATAGTGAGCAGTGCAACACGTTTAGTATTAACTACTTGTTTACGGAAAGTACCGACGGTTCCCGATTGTGTCTGGTCTTGAACATGTAATGAGTATCAAGGGAGACAACGCCAAAAAAGGGGTTACTGTCGTTTACGCTTTCTGCAAGCTTGGAATTTGAAGGCACATGTGCGCCACCTTGTGGATGATACCAGTAAGACTAGTCTTATACTTTGATTTACATCAAAATAATCGTGCGAGGTATAAAGGTAAAATTGGCCGGTTATGGAGTAGAGTGTCGCTCCTTGCAATTGGTAATCTTCATAGAACATGTATTAGGCAAGTGATTGGTCAGTATTTTTTTTTACCTGAGACTACATGTAATTAAATAGATATTTTCGTGCTTTCTATTTTGCCATGACATATTCCAGGAGTGCAAAAAGCATATACACGAGCGTAACTCCGGGAGTGTCGAGGATGGAGTAGGTAGAACACGAAGCAATCTCAACTGATGCGCTACCGACTTAACGGTAGTTACCTGAAGTAAGCTAAATGTTACTCTTTGTGCGAAAAACTATAGCGGAATCCTCTGGAGTTGAGCTTGATGTGGACAAATTCAGTGAGAAAAACGTGTCTGCAAGAGTACAGGGGGTTAGAGTTGGGGGGTTGGAGACAAGGGGATCTGATAGTTTGTTACGGCTTTATTTGGACCTAAACTTAGGTGTTCAGAGTAATTTTACATGTTTTAGGGGTTTAGATCGACTTTCGGTAAAAAAAATGATCATCGAGAGTATATATACAATCATTGGGGGTGTCATTTTTACCGAAAGTCGTATATGTTATCTTCCTATTTCCTACAAACGTATTTTCAATGCCTTCCTTTTTTCGTAGCAACCTCTTTATAATTCGGTTTCCCTCCGTCTATCACTAAACCCCTTCGAACGCCCGAATTTCGCTGAACAAATGGTGGCAGTATAGCGAGGTTTATCGAGTGCCTTGGCTGACAATGACCGCTTAGAATACCCCACAGTAACTATCACATACATGTTTGTAGCATTAAACTAACATAGGGTTGTGCATTTGCGGATCCAGAGGGGTTTTGGGGGCTTCAGGAAAACCTCCCACTCTGAGAACTTTCTTTAAAAATCATGTATTTTCACCATTTTCCTCAATTTTCCCCCACATGGAAGACCCCC